TGCCGAAGCCCAACCCTGCTGCCAGCACTTCGCTATTACCAGAATAGAATACACCAGTCTCACCAGCCATATGCTCTGGCTCTCTCGCGACCTTGAATATCTTTGCGATAATCTTCCCTTTCTCTTTCGCCGACCGATACGTTCTAACGGCGAGCCATTCGTTCAAAACCACTGACCGCCCATCACTTGGCTTTGATATCGAACGACCTGCATTGAAAGAAGCATCCTACGAATTATTCCTCAATCTTTCGACTCCGAGCACGGCCGTCAGGCATACATAGTTCCAGCGCATGGGATCCTCCACAGACATGGATTCGCGGACGGAGCCGCACTCGCCAGAGCACTCTGACGATGAAAACCGTCCAGCCACACCTCTGTCCCTCGATGCCCGGTCTGCGCGACCGGCCCGACACTTGGCGAACAGCGACTATAATGCCGTCCAGACCTCCGTGGATCTGGCCTCTGTCATGACCGCCGCATCCAGTCCTGTCTCGCCAGGTTCCTCGAACCCCGCACTGCCACAAGCCCGCACGCAAGACTTTGTGCCACCAACGCGACCGAGTAGTACACCTTTCCCTCAACCTGAGCAGAGAACCGACGATCTTTGCTGCTTCGGGTGCCCGGATGGCATGGAGCACGGCGAAGACTTTGTTGACGACCACGATGGGCCCCTGGACGTGGACATGGGCATGAGGTTGGATGCGGGTGTGGACATGCACATGCAGCATGGGGTTGACTTGGCTGGGAAAGCACCCGCGCAGCCGGACATGTCAGGCAGCCCCCGGTCTGTTGCCATGGATCTGTTGGACCTGAACTCGCTTGATAGAGAAGGCGAGCCGGAGATTGACTACTTCAAGCTTGCGTCGTCCACCATCGCCAAAGAGCCTCAGGACCTGTCAATAGATATGGACATCTCTGGCCTCCCTGTGACACCGACATTCTCGCCTATCACTTCCGTGGCCACGTCTCCCAGCACACTACATTCTCACTTCGGCTCTGATCTTGATCACATAACGCACAACGATATCAGCAAAGACAAAGAGCAGAAAACAGAGTCGGCAACGTCTTCCTCCTGTAATCAGACGCTTTCCCTCCAGGACTTGCCCATTGAGATCCAAGAACTGATCCTTGACCGCGTCTTTGACTGCCGTGTGTCACCCATGACGAAGAGCTGGCCCGACAAGCGGTTGACCAGGATGGCCACCTTCACCCGCGTGTGGCGTATGCTCATCCAAAAGCGCCTGTACTGTCGCATCAAGATCAAGGCCACTGGCTTTAATTTGATCAGTACAATGGCCCACTTTGGGTGCTTCCCGCATCTGCGATCCTATGTTCGGCACGTGGAACTGTGGTTCCCCGTCTTCCAGCCCAGAGTAGCACCGCCTGCGCTGTCTGCGGCATCGATGGTACCGACTCTTTTCCTGGACGGCCTCTCCAATGCGACGTACACGTTACCGGCGAATAATTGCTCGCTCGAAGAGGCCTTTTTGGTCCTCGGCGCCGCCTTCCCCAATCTATCTGTCCTCACCCTGGAAGGTGGTGAGCGCAAAAAGGCGCCCCAGGTCCAGCACTTTGCACACGATCTGTACAACGCACCGGCGCCATCAGACCCTAACAGTCTTGCCGAGTCCTCAGCCGACCTTGTAGCCGATGCGTTACTGACACCCAGTGTGCCGCAGCGTCCGCTTCCTCAGCTTACCACAGTGCGAACTCTGGTGTGCAAAGGCCAATGGAATCTCATCCGCTCCCAACAAGATTTCCAGAACATTGCGGCTGCTCTGCCGAACCTTTCTGGCTGGCAGGCCGTATACAGCAAACCCAAATCCAAAAGCTATCTGACCATGGCCACCATTCTGCCCCATATACCCGATACTACGAACCTGACGTCCCTGAATTTATGCATCGAGGGCGACTACCGCCAGGAGATTTCGTTCCCGCCCTATTTCTTAAAGGTGATGGACAAGGTGCACTTTTGTTCCAGTCTGGCCGCGGCCACACCGGCCCTGATGCACCTGTCGTACACGGGCCGCGTCTGTCGCACGTTTTTCGATGTCGCTGCCCGGATCGCCGATCCCCGCACCACCCGCCTCAAGTCGGTCGAGCTCACTGTCAAGAACTGTTGCCGGCAAGTGAGCCACTGGCACGAATCCGGCTCAGGGGTCACGGATCTCAACTTCATCCGCGCGTTCGAGGCTCTGGTCCTATCGGCTGTGCGGTCGCTCGACCGCCTCACCAAGCTGGAGCACCTGCGGATCCGCTACGTCGACCTCGAGTTCCCCGTGCCGCCGTTGAACCCCTTCTTCTTGCTGCACAACGGGTACGCATCGGGCGTCTGGAGTGAGACCATTGTGTCGGAGCTCAGTCGCGTGCGGCCCGATGTTCAGTGGGAGGAGCTGTCGGAGAGCATTGGCGAGCGCACGCTGAGCAAAGACGGACGCCTCATTATCAACGCCGAGTTCCCTAAGAAGCGCGTTGTGTCGTTAAAGTTGAGCAACTATGCTTTCCTGGTGGCCCTGGCGACGATATAGCCTGACCGGCATTCACCACACTCTTTCTTTTTCTTTCCCTTTCCTTTTCCTTTTCGTGTCTTTTGTCACTCCATACCCCCATCCGTTGTTGCTTATACTACGATTCCCCCTTGTTTGAATTTATCTATGTTGTTTTGGTGACATTTTTGATACAGCCCTCATCATTCTTTTCTCGTTTTGAGTTCTTTGCAATGTGTAGCATGATGAAGCAAGGCGTTTTGTTTTATGTTTTTTTTTTAGGAAATTTGGAAAATATGCTGTTGTCATTTAAAACGAGGCTAAGGGGGAGACGGGGAAGGAAACTGGACTTGCATAGAAATCCTGGTTGGTTTCATGCTGTCATCCCTTGTCCTGCACAATTTGATTCTATTTTGTCGTTTTCCGGAACAGGCGAGACGTCAAAATGAAGGCATGGGCAAAAGTGACACAAACAAACTCTATTGGCTTTGATATATAACTGATCAGTTTCCGCTAAAAATGCAACAAAAGCTCCATCCGATTTTGCCTGACGAGCTTTTCTTCTGTGCTAACACATTTGTCGTACACACTGCGCTAGGCTTGCCCTGTCGGACGCCATCTACGCGCCCGCCACGTCGCCCACTATCACGCCCAGGATCCAGCAGTTGACCGTAAAGAACCCCAGCGACGCCAGCCACAGTCCCGGCACAAACGTGCTTTGCCCCAGAAACTCCAACAGGAATCCCTGCTGCAGCCACGCCGCCTGGCCGGCCACCCACAGCACGAGCGCGAGCACGCCCTTCCGGGGCGACTGGACAAACGACGACTGCGGCAGGTACACGGGCAGCAGCACCATGTACCACAGGAAATACTGGCTCGTGCAGACCTTGTTGAAGGCGACAAAGGCAAACGTCTGGGCGAGCAGGGTGGCGGGGAGGTCCTTTTTGGCGAGAACGAGGGGCAGGAGGACGGTGGCGAGGAGCAGCTGGGGCACGAACGCGAGACTTTCAATGGGCGGAAGCCACGGAGTGGTCGACGTGGCCGCCGCGATTGTGCTGTTTGCAGCGCCTCCGGTGATGGCTGCCGCCGCCGCGGACGACAGGTAGAGCTGCGTGTTGTAGGGGCTAAAATTGTGACGGTGGTCGATGCGGGTGACATGGTGGAGGTACGTGTGCTGGAGGAAAGGGAAGCCATATCTGGGGGAAGATGTCAGTGCTGCGGTCTAGTAAAAGCTATGCGGCAACGTTTGACCTACATCGAGTACATGACCACGTTGAGCCCGACAAAGATGGCCAGACTGGCACCGGCGAGCTGCAGCCGTGCGGGCGTCACAAAGGCAAGGATCGGGTACACAGGCTTGTCGACCTTCTTGCTGTTCTTCTTGGACACCTTGGCCGGCGCCCGCCCCCCACTCTGCCCCATATTGTCGGCGTCCATCCACCACACAATGGCCGGCGCGTAGATGAAGGGATAGATCTTGAGATGGACGCCGGCGCCCAACAGGAGGCCCGCCAGCAGCGGCTGCCGCGCCACGTGCACGGCCCACAAGAGGGCGGCCACAAGCGCACCCAGCAGTCCTTCGGCGCTGCCGCGGGTGCTGATGGCGGCCACCATGGGATTCAGCAGCCAGACACTGGCGTAGATGCGGGCGGTCGTCGCATGCGCGGGCGATGCTACACGCAGCTGTTCCCGGAGCACTCGCTCGAGCAGCCACCCCGCGACAAGATCGGCGGCCGCAAACAAGACTTTGCCGGACGCAAACAGCAGCTGCTGCCCTAGCACACCACCAGCCTCGGCTGCCGTCGGCAGCAGCAGCCACGCGAGCAGCGGCGTGTACCGGTACGTCTCGCGGTCGTAGGGCGAGCCGCCGTCCTTGGCGACGAAGCGGGCCGCGTCCGTAAAGACCAGGTAGTCAATGTCTGTGTACTTGACAGGCGAGTTGGCGTCCTGCCAAAGGCCGTAGACGAGGAGGACGATGCGGAGCGCGGCGGCAGCGCCGTAGACGGCCGTGGCATTGCCAAAGAAGGTGGCCGTGCGATAGGTCCTGCTGTCTTGGAACTCCTCCACTTTCTCTTTCTTCCTTTCCTGCAGCTGTACCCGCCGTCGTGTCACAGGTGGTGAGGCCATGCTGTCGGTGGCGGTGCTGTGCTGTCTGATGTGATGTTATGTAGCGGAAGCAAGAAAACTGAATTGGGCAAGTGAGCTCCTGACGTTGAAATTGCGCTAAAACTGTAGCGGTTGAGGGTGGGCTTTCCAGGGGCTTGTTTCCAGTGGGTCCTCTGCGCCGATCGAGCAAAAGAGTGGAGCATCTTGCATGCCCCACAATTTGTCTGGAGCTTGCCTTTCGAGGAAACTTTTCAACGACATTCGTTCTTTCCCTCGTTGACGGCGATACGATCACGAGTGCACGCCGTACCCGTTGACTCCTGATCTCCTAAGCCCCCTTTTATCCTCTTGGCCGCAACCTAAATACCAACGCCAACCCAACATTCCAGCGCCCCAATCCTCACTGCAATGGCCCCCGAAGGCAAACGCCGGTGGCAAGCGGACAGCAACGGCGCCGCTGGTGACGCGCCGGATCATAAGAAGATGGCGCGCCGGACCGGCCCTCCACCGACTGCTGCTGCTCCAACGGTCCGCAACGCCTACACTGCCATGTTCGAAGGCTTTCGCGACCACCTGGACGCGCACCACGACCGCCGCGAACGCATCGTCAAGGCCTCGCGCGACATTACAGCCCTCAGCAAGAAGATCATCTTTGCGCTCCAGCGCGTCCGGCGCATCCACCCCGAGCTGCCGCGCGACGTCGACAGCGAAGTCACCCGGCGGCTGGGCGAGATTGGGCGGCTGCTGGCGGGCATCGCGCCGGAGATGCAGGGGATCAACCGCGGGCGGTACGGGCGGGTGCTGTTTGGGATGGAGGAGCTGCTCGAGGCGCTGACGTTCTTGCACTACCTGCGGCACCAGGTGTTGCTGAGCCCAGACGAGGCGGCCGAGCAGGTGGCGGCCCTGTGCGTGGAGGGCCGGGCCACCAAGGACACCAAGGACACCAAGGACACCAAGGACACCAAGGACACCAAGGACACTGGGGACACCGGGGACGGCGAGAGCCAAAACGACGAGGACGCCCCCCGGATCGTGCCCGACGACAACGACTTCTTGATGGGCGTCTTCGACCTGTCGGGCGAGATGATGCGGTTCGCAACAACGTCGGCGGCGCTGCGGGGCGAGCTGGCGAGTGATGGAGGTGACGGAGCCGACCAGAGTGGACAGGGGCGAACGATTGTCGGCGACATGCAGGAGCTGGACAGCTTCTTTCGGATGCTGCCGCAGCGGCACGACAAGTCGTGGAAGATAAAGACACAAACGCTGCAGACGTCCGTGCAAAAGGTGGAGCGACTTGGCTACGACCTGCGGGTGCGCGGCAGCGAGCGGCCCAAGGGCTGGATGCCCGATGTGCCCGAGGCCGGGGAGGCGGGGACTCCGTGAGCAGGTGAGTGGCTGTTCACTACGAAGGGGGATGCACCACGTGACGGGATGCATCATAGGGCTACGGCATTCATTTTGGTGTTTTCTGAGCACGTGTTTACTTTGTCACGATATTTGTCGTTATTTTTTTTTTTTTATCCTGACATTAGGTGACATAATCGGCCCTTGCTTTTATTTTCACTTCTGATTTTATGTACAATTGAATGGAGCAACTCCATATGACATACTTACACCCGACGACGAAGACACACTACCGACTGCATCTCGTTTTGCGACCATATTTCAGTACATGACACCAGAATTTCGACGCATTGAACATTCAAACCTGCTTCCCACCTACGACAGAGTCGGCGGGGTCCAGTCGACATACTTGGACATGTCGACAGTCGCCGACGACTTTTCGACGGCACCGGGCGCCGCGCCCGTGCCCAGCAAAAAGTGGTTGATGTACGTCGTCAAGTCGGCCTGCTGCGCGCTCGGGAACATGCAGTGCGAGTGGCCGCCCACGAGCGAGAAGCCCATGTTGTTGGGCGCGCCCACGCCCTTGTAGATCAGCCGGCCCGCCTTCATGCAGCCGGTGGTCGACACGGGGCCCAGCCAGTCGATATCGTTCTCAATGACAAACAGGCCGCGCGGGGCCGTCAGCGCCGCCAGCATGTGGTGGTCCTCGGGCATCGTGCTCGTCTTGGCCGTGTAGCTGTTGAGGTTCTTGGAGAACCACACGTTCTCGCCCACAATCTCGCCGGCTGTCTGGATGTTCTTGCCCGCGCTCTTCTCCGCGTCCGAAATGCGCCAGCAGGCGGCGCCGCCCGACCCCGACTCCTGCGGGAGCGTCAGCGCTATGCGCGTGTTGAGCGCGCCCACGACGAACGCGCCCTTGCCGTTGCGCGAGCAGCCCGTCACGCCCAGCTTGGTGGTGTCGACGCCCGACGTCGCATTGACCTGCTCGAGCGCGTCAATCAGGCGGCCCACACCCCAGGCCCACGCCGTCAGGGCGCCCGCGCTGTGGCCCGCGCCAAACAGCGTGTAGAATTTGCCCTGGCCGCGCGACGAGCCCGACGCCTGCGACGCGAAGCCGTCGTTGTCAAAGTTGATCGTGCTGACCGTGCCGGGGATGGGCAGCGAGGACCCGCCAATGGTAATAATGGCGGCGCCGCCACCCGAGCCCTTCTTGATGGTGCTCGTAAAGGACACCGACTTGCTGCCGACGGTGATGTCGACCTTGAGGCTGTTGCCCGTCAGGGTGCCTTTGACGGCATCGGGCGGTCCGGGGAAGTCGCCGAGCTCGTACTGCTCCATGGCCTTGAGAATCTCCTGCTGGCGGCAGGCCCACTGGTCCTTTGTGGTAACCTTGGTGCCGTCGGAGGCCGTGAAGGGGTCCGGCAGCTTGGCATTGGACACGGCCGGGATGGAGGCGGGAACAGTGCAGGTCTGCTGGATGCCAAAGATCTCGCGGGCGGGCAGGGCCATGGCCGAGCCGGCGAGGAGGAGGGCGGAGATGAGGTGCACCATTTTGAAGAGGTGTGTCTTGGAGACGATGTCAAATTAAAAATAAGACGAAGAGGGAAAGGGAAATGGGGGAAAGAGACCAGGGAGAGAAAAATATACTGCAGAAGAGGAAACCGGTCTATATATTCGGGGACTTGCTGCGGAGATGTTTGTTTTTGGATGCGTGGGAAGAAAGGGATTGAGGAGGTTAAATATTGAGCATATTGGCTGTCTTCGGCTGATGGGAAGCAGCTTGCGGATGATATGAAGACGGATGGAAGGCTCCCAAGGCAAGAGAGCTGGATGTGAGTCTGGGCGCTGAGTTGAACTCGACGCTTGGCTGTCTACACTCTACACACCGTCCATGACTTGCCGATGCAGTCGTTTCTTGTTTATATCATACCACATTATCATGTCACCTATCACCACATCTCCAAGCCCACCGTGTCGTCGCATCTTTGGCCGCAAATATGTCCATCTTGTCAACTATTTATTTGTCTTGGGCCGGGCGCCGAAAACCGATCCCATGTACTGGTTCCAGTCGAAGATGGGCCATGATCAGCAAGGACGTCATTCGTGGTATCTCCGTCTCGTCGGTCGAGGCCTGTAGATAATATCGAGAGGGCGGGAGGCGGAAGTACACAAGACAAGTTATTCCACCAGTGAGGACGAAGTTCAGTAGTTCGGTATTTGTCCGTGTTATATGTCCCGGAGTTCTAATTTTCTATCTTGGCACTTTATCCTACCAGAAGGGAACCGGAGACGACTCGTATACTATTAGACGAGATGTGGGAAGAGTGAAAAACTGGGAAGCATGTTGCAAAGACTGCTGCCAATACTCCTAGTTGCGACTCCGCGTCGTAGGCTTTCTCGACCGAATTTGGCCACATAGCCTAAGTGCCTAATATGGAACCGTATACAAATGCTGCTTTGAATTAAACTGTTCTCTCACTGCCTACTGTTTAGACAAACTGTTATCTATAACGGCAACCCTCCGTAATTGATGTAAACGGTGGTTTTTGCATCCCTTTCCAGAAACGGTTTTGACAGAACTAAATCCGGCTGTCCTAGCTACACCGTTCTACGAATGTTCCCTTCGTACTCGCGATACCCGTTGGTACGAGTCTTGTCATAAAACAGGGTTTTAATGGTGATTCAGCGCACCCTTCTAGGCCAGTGGCCAGTGCCATGAGAGGCCGGCGATGTCGGGCGTGTGGGTTCAACGGCGATGCAATGGGATCTCTCCAGGGACCAGCCCATTTGCCACTAGTAAACTGACGCCGTTAGTCAACCTAGGCACGGGCCGCTCACGGCGGCCGGGGCCACTAACAGCGCATTAGACCACCATAGATTTCAACAAGCATCGCCGTACACTCGTCAGACAGTAGTAAATAAAACAATCCATGCTCCCCGGCTGGAAATAGGAGTGGGCCAAGGATTAGATTTCCTGCTCCCTCACGCCTACATTTCGGTCTGTTGATGGTGGACATTTCTTTCCTGACTCCACCTATCCCCAGAACCACTTATTACAGCTTAGGAGGGCTCCCCTGCTCTCCTGCTGCCTTACTTGCCCGTCTGATAAGGCTGACTGTCGACAATGCAGCCTCAGCTGGTCGAGGATTTGCCAGCCAACGTGCCGAACAGAACACTGGTTATGTGCGGCAGGCTTGGGGACTGTGGTGGCTTGTCATTGGTTGTTTCAACTCGGAAAGAAACTCTCAACTCGGAAAAAAAAAATATAAAAAAACGCGCGCGCCAAAACTGAATGTGGTATGTATGTTAGAATTGTAATGGTGGCTGAGGCTTCCAGCTGTTGGGCACCAAGGAATCCTCAGCTCGCCATCAAAGCCCACCGAATGTTGAGGCTGAGCCAAGGAGGACTCACAGACCCATTAACTTTACAACATACCCTTTTGTTGTTTCTACTTTTCTTCTTTTCCTCCCATGCCAGACCGCACTATTCAAAGCGCCACAAAATGCCGGAACGGCTCAAAAAGCCCCGGAAGGGATTCAAAACTTTGTTCTCACGGGAGCGGCACAGCGCCGGTGGGCCGTCGAACCCCGATTTCACGAACATCGGGCTCGCACATGCCGTGCACGCTCCACAAGGCTTCGAGCTGGTGTCGCCAAGTTCGAGCACTCTGCGTGTTGCCCAGGCTCCACTGGTCGACAATTCATCGCCGCCTAATCATGGACAAGGTATGACATATGGCCAGACCACATCGCTTGGTCTGGCTTTCAGACCTGCCATCCCACCATCCCAGACGCCGGCTGTTCTGGCTACCACACCCACCTCACCAGTGATTCCAACGCCGCCGCCGCTGAACCCCTCGGATACGACGGACACCGGAACCGAGGCCCAAACCGACGCTGACGACATCGAGCCTTGGACGGCGGCATTCCACCTGTTTCAAGAAAAGTCTCCTGATCTTGCTGCCAGCTACGAGGAATGCCTGGTGTCCCTGCAGGGCATGACAGCGGACGACGTGAAACTGGCCGTGCCGCGGTCTGTCGAAGCTGTGGTGCAGACACAATTGAAGCGGCGTGAGGGCAAGCAGTGGAAGCTGCCTCTTCCCTCGGGCAAGACAATCAATGTGCGCAAACAGACCGAAAAGCTGGTCAAGTTTTTGCTCTATTTCGATCCGATCGTGAAAAATGCAGTCAGTGCCCAGCCGTATGCAGCACTGGCGTGGTCTAGCGTTTCTATGCTTCTTTCAGTGCGTGTCACTCCTCCTTCTACCCTTGGACCATTCCACCAGCTTCTGCAACAGTCAAACACTTTGGTATATCTACTAACGTCTTTTTTTTTCTCCCTCCTACCAGCTGCTCACAAATACCTCCGCCCAGAACGAAGCGATGCTTGACGGTTTCAATTCTATCAACGACATTCTAGTCTACTGGAATGCCGGCGAAGAGATCCTCCGCAATGGCAATACCGGAGCCCACTTTCTCAAGTCTCTCAGCAACCTCTACGCTTCTATTATTGAGTACCAGGCCTCCGTCATTTGCCATATTTCAAAGGGCCAAGGCTCCCGAGCACTGCAGAGCGTTGTCGGCGCCGTGAACTGGGTTACAAAGGCACAGAAAATTGCCAAGTTGAACACGGCGTGCAAGGACCTTGTGGACATCAGTTGCCGGGCCGACATCCAACGAGCCAACGACAGCACACTGCATGGCATGCGTGATATTGTCGTGGCGTTGGAACAGAGTGAGCTACAGACGCGTGACCGCGAGAGGGAGGAGAAAGAAACAGAACTTCTTCGCAATCTCCAATGCACCTACGACAGCTACAAAGACTTTAACCGCCAAAGAGTCCAAGGTACGTGTGAATGGTTCTTCAACGACAGTAGATTCCATGCATTGCGCGATGCCAGCACGTCTAGTCTTCTCTGGGTCTCTGCCGGCCCTGGCTGTGGAAAGTCGGTCCTCTCACGGGCCATTGTCGACGAACTGCGCGCGTCCACCGGCGGTGGCGGCTCCACCGTTTGCCACTTTTTCTTCAAAGACGGAGACGAAGACCGCACGCTTGCCGCCAATGCGCTCAGCGCCATCTTGCACAGCTTGTTCACCGAGGACGCATCCCAGCGCTTAATCCAGCACGCGCTGCCAAGCCACAAAAGCCATGGCAAGCGCCTGGCCCAGGATTTCCTGGAGCTGTGGAAGATCTTAATCAGCTGTGCTCAGTCGGACGACGCCGGAGAAATCATCTGTGTTTTGGATGCACTCGATGAATGTGAACAGAGGAGCCGGCATGAGCTCATCGACTGTCTGAGACAGTTTTACACGGACCAACAACCCACGTCCGCCAAGACCTCAAAGCTGAAGTTCATCATCACAAGCCGCCCCTATGACGACCTGGAAAAACAATTCGCCAGGTTCGCAACGGTCAATTGCATCAAGTTCCACGGTGACGACAAGTCCGCCGAAATAAGCCGGGAGATCGATCTTGTCATTGACGAGCTCGTGGACGAAGTGGCCGGCTCGTTTAGTCGCGATGACCAGGAGAGGTTGAAAACGCACCTCAAGAGCATGAACAACCGCACGTACCTTTGGCTGCATCTTACCTTTGACATTATCAGACAAAGCCCGAGCGAATTCGGCCGACCTTGCGACATCGACGAGCTTCTGTCCATACTGCCGTCTGAGGTGGCCGACGCGTACGAAAACATCCTGAACCGGAGCAAAAACAAAAACCGAACAGAAACAATCCTTTCCATTGTGCTTGCCGCCGAAAGACCGCTGACGCTCCGCGAAGCAAACGTCGCCGTGGCCATGGCCTTTGCGTTGCAAAATAACAAGTCGCCGCCACCATCCACCTCCGCTGAGCTTGACAGACAACTATGGCCAGACGACACGTTTAAAAGCGTCGTAACCAACCTCTGTGGCCTCTTCATCAGCGTGTATGACCAAACATTAGTCTTCATCCATCAAACCGCGAGAGAGTTTCTCGTCGGTGCCAGAGGCGAAGGCAATGTTTGGCAGGGACGTTTTGCCTTGCCCAAATTGCACGGCGTCATGTCCTCGATCTGCGTTCGCTATTTGCTGCTGCAAGACCTACACGTTTCCTTTAAGGAATACGTCGATCACTTTACATGTCCAGCCAGATTGTTTGATTACGCCGCTAAACACTGGCATCGGCACCTCGCCGCACAGGAGCCCACTGCTGGATTTGAACTACTGTCAGAAGTTCGCATCCTCTTAGATGCAACTGATTTCCGAAACAACGCTTGGCTACGCAAGTCCCGCAAATTTGATAAATTGTACGGGATGACCAGCCTGGCTGTTGCAAGCTACTTATGCCTGACGTCAGTTGTGGAGGACATACTGAAGACCGGCAAGGTAGATATTAACGAACGCGACGCACATGGCGATACAGCGCTTCACCACGCCGCCGAAAAAGGCCGTACGGAAATTGTTCGGCTACTCCTCGATAACGGCGCCGACATTCATATGCGGAGTAAAGATGGTGAGACGCGACTCTGGGACGCGGCCTATCATGGCATTAATGAAATGGTTCCGCTACCACTCGAAAACGGTGCCGAAGTCGATGCGTTAAATCGTTGGGGTGTGAGCATACTCCACAATACAGTCCCCTATGCAGTCAAAAACGGCCATACCGAAGCCTTGGGATGGCTCTTCGCCGAAGGCGCCGACATCCACATACAAACTGCGAAGGGTGACACGGCACTTCATATGGCAGCCATGCGCGGACATACGGAGGCGGTAAGACTCCTTCTTGATCACGGCGCGAATATAAACGCACAAAACGAGGACGGCCAAACAACACTCTTTAAGGCGCTGCAGACAAATCACATGAGCGTGATTCGGCTACTCTTGGAATACGGCGCCGACGTTTTTGTACAAGACGTTGACGGCAGGACGGCACTTGAAGCCACGCACGAGAGTGATCCCGCCAAAGCCATTGAGATACTGTCAATAGCATTAGAAGTGCTCTGGAAACGGGTAGACGACTTTCCTAAGCAGGATCTGGACGGTCTGGAGGAACTTGCAGCCAGAGTCGAGAGAAACCTCGCTACGGCTCATAGACTCTACGAGACATGGTTTGGCACAACCATTGAGTTGGCCGCAATCTTCCCTCCCCTTTCTTTGCAAGGCTACGAAGGAATCTTAACTTGGCAGGGCGGAAACATGCTACTCGTCGCGTACCAATACCTCCGGGGTTTCTTAAGAGAAATGCAGAGGGGGCGAAAAAAGGGTTATGGGGAGGAATGGTGTACAGAGGCAGCCACATGGGTAGTCAATTTCAGGACTCGCGTATAATTACTTGTATTCGTCACATGGCTTTTCGGTACAGTCTTCCATTCATAAGCTTTTTGCTCCGTTTCGAATTCACGGCTCTCGGCTCTTATCAGATGAATGGCCAGCACACCTATTGCATTTTTACGTAAGTGAGAGAAAGGAACAATGCAATGGCAAGGACAAAAGGAAGGAGGGAAAAAGAAACTGGGGCAAAAAGATAATTACATTTTGTAGAAACGGACGTGACGGGCATTAATTATATAGATGGACGCTGCATGTTACTGTCGTGCCGGTATAAATGAACATTAATCTATTTTCTCCGTGGCACACTACCCCACAAAGGCTGCGGATGAGGTGCCGTGTTTTGTTTCGTGCATTTTCCATCTTCCGCGATTTTGTTCTAACCCGTTTGCCCTCTTGAACACCTTCGAAAATGTGTTTGCTCTCATGCAAGAACCACAGGCCGAAGCAAAGGAAGGATGGCACCGATACGGGCACCACAGTCTCATCCCGGATGTGTATTTGCAGGTCCTCCGTGATCCTGCGTGCTCCGTGTTTCGTAAAACCACGTTGTCGTAGTAGAAAGCCGTGCTCTTGTGTTTTTGTCCCTTTTTAGTGGCCGTCTCGGTACGTCGTTGCATCATCCCTTTACTCCTCACATTCGCCGCCATGTACATGGCCTCCCTCGGCCTTCTCGGCCTTCTCGGCCTTCTCGGCTTTTTGTTTACACCAATGGCCCAGGCCCACGGCGGCCTCGCCAACTACACCGTCGGCGACCCGCCGGTCTGGTACCGCGGCTACGACCCAGACGAAAATGCGGCCGAGCAGGACGGGCAGCCCTGGATGGTCCAGCGCAAGTGGGCGTCCATCGACCCCATCTTCAGTGTCGCCGACCCGTTTTTGGCGTGCAACAAGCCCGGCACGCCCGGCCCCGCGTACATTCCCGTGGCGGCGGGCCAGAACCTGACGGCTGTCTACTGGTACTGGCTGCACCCGGTCGGACCCATGTCGGCGTGGCTGGCGGCCTGTCCGCCGCTGGACGAGGGCGGCTGTGTGGGCGTCGACGTCAATGCGCTGCGCTGGTTCAAGATCTGGGAGGCCGGGCTGCTGGCCGGGACCGGCAACCTGGCCGAGGGCATCTGGTACCAAAAGCAGTTCCAACGCTGGGACGGTTCCCCGGACCTGTGGCCGGTGACGATCCCGGCGTCCTTGCAGGCCGGCCTCTACGTGGTGCGCCACGAGATTGTGAGCATTCACATTGCGAACCGGCCACAGTTCTACCCGGAGTGCGCGCACCTCAACGTCACCGGCGGCGGGACGGAGCTGCCGCCGACGTCCTTTTACAAGACATTTCCAGGAGCGTACAGTGTCGATGGTAGGTCGTTTGCCAGGAAAGTATGCGAAAGGACGGTCGGAATACAATACTGACGCCCGCTGAAGATCCATCGCTGAATATCGACATTTACTCGGACGCAATGCGCAACACATATGTACGTTTTGGCCCAGAAGCAAGGTTGTCTGAGGGGATGCTCGAAGAGACACTGACAACGCAGAATTACACCATCCCTGGAGGACCAGTATGGACAGGGTGAGTCAAGTGTCGGCACATATGACCTACCGTCAGTCACAAACTAACAAGTTAGATTACCTGTCGACAAATACTGTGTAGGATGTTGAGCTCGTATTTTAAAATAAATAATACGTGGAATAAAAGAAAACCAAGGTCTCCAAGTGTGTAATCCGTTTATGTTGCAAGCTACTATTTCTTTCAATTCAATTAATTTCTTTTTGTTTCTTTTTTCTTGTTCATTTCTTTTTCTCTCTCTCCTACAGCAAGCTTACATGTGTCCTCGTAAGACGATGACGATGCATTTTCATATGTATAACAACATACTCCCTGCTCATTTGTTGACTTCCTAAGCAAAGTTCACCGCAACTAACACGACCACTGTGGGCGCCCGTTATCGGACGATGCCAGTTACACCTCCCCTGAAGATAGCGCTAACCCCACCTGGATTTCAGCGATCTGGACCCTGTCCGGTCCGTCTCCACTTTATTTTGTCACGACATCTCACGAGCACTCGTCGCTCTTTCCGCCCCCGACCTTTTTCTGTGCCTAACAGCGAACGTCGCCTCCAATTCTATGACAACGATCTTGACCGAGCTCGCATTCCACCACCACCAGGCACTGCCTACGATCGACACCTTCGTCATACGTCGTAAGCTCCCCCGAGCTCTGCACATGCTGTTGTCGTCCGGCCCCGACTGGCCACGGACATCGAATCACACTCTCGTGACACTCGCCTCGATCGACAACGCCGAATATTCAAACGTTCCTCGGCTTCCCTCCACCCATCCATGGGGTAATCGATACGAGTAAGCCCCGTTACGCCTCCGCATCATCCATAGACACCTCTCCGGCCATGGCGCCCCGCGACTGTTTCCCGCTCCCCGGGGAGCTCATCGACGCCATCCTGTCGCTGCTCAGCCCCCAGGACCTCGCGCGCGTCACCCAGGTCAACCGCACCATGCGCGCCTATGCGCTCGCCGACCGCTACTGGGTTGGCTTCACGCTGCAACACCTGCCCGAGCGCGTCCACAGGCACTTCCCGCCGTCCGAGTCGTGCGTGCCGCTGCCCCCCCACATCCCTTCGTACCACCACCTGTACGCCGCCCACGAGGCCCGCTGGTTCCTGGCGCGCTACAAGATCTGGCTCTGCGGGCACGACATGGTCGGCAAGATTGTGGTGGCGCGCTACGATCCGCGGCGCGGGTGCCTTGAAGGGTACCGGCTGCTGGCGGTGTCGCGCGAGAGACAGCGGCGGGCGCTCTTCTACCCACCGGCGCCCAACACGATGGTGCACTCGTTCCACCCCGAGGTGCTGCTGCACCTGGACCGGCCTGTGCTCAAGCTCGAAGCGCGGCACCCGCCGACGAACGAGGACGCCGCCAAGGCGGATGGCGCCCCGGCTGCGGCAGAGACGTTGTCGTCGACCAACACCAACGGGCCCAAGATTGTGCTGTACCAGCCGCCGGCGCCGTTGTCGTTTGGGCAGTACATGGAGAACAAGGCAGGACACAAGGAGGCCAGCACAGCCGACGCGGAAGACGCAGGTGGCGACACGCCCTTGCCACCGGTATGCCCGCGCATCCGACCCATTGTGATGGACATGGACGGCGACAATGTATTGCTGTCGCAGAACAATGGGAGCGACGGCGGCAGCAATGGAGGCAACCGGCGAAACGGCCGTGGCAGTCCGAATGGCGACAACACCGGCATCGACAACATCCACATTGCCATGGCCAACAACAGCAGCAGCAGCAGCTTTGTCACGAGCAGCCAGCTGCGGAGGCAGTTTGTCTATGCGCGGCCGCTGACCGAAAAGGCGGCCAAGGGCGGGGGTTCCTTTACCAGGCGGGGCGAAAGTGCCGGCGGCCAGGCTGGCGACGACGACGACGACGAAGTCGCTGAAGGGGCTGAAGGTGCCCAAGCAGGCACCCCAGGGGCCACCATAGACACGACAGTCATCCACGGCGCCCACAACGCCGGCGGTGCTGGCGCCACCCTCAACATGCCTGCCGACGACGAGCTCCCCATCGGCCGGCCGCCGTCCGCCTCGTCGCCCCTGCCCTTCCCCCTCTACACCGTCTGGCCGCCGCCCGCGATTCCGTCCGAGCACCGTGTCCGCGGCACCGGCATCAGCGCCAACCATTATCCGCGCGGCGCCGTTGGCCAGCCGCGCCTTCGCTCGGAGATTTCTGACCGCGCGTTCCACATGCGCACCTGGATGGACATGGGCGCCCCGCTCGGCGGCAGCGGCAGCAGCAGCAGCAGTGGCGTTGGCAGCGGTGGCTCGCCCATGACGTTTGACGCGCTCGAGACGTACGCCACCATCGACCCCAAGCACTACACGCCCACCGAGGACAAGGTGTATCGCGGCATCTGGGCCGGCGACTACAGCAGCCATGGCGTCGAGTTTTTGCTCGTGCACCAGCCGGACGACGATGATGACGACGGCGGCACCAGCCCGTTTGACCCCGACGCGTTCCCCCAGCGCGACGACGAAAGCGACGCCGACCACGCCCGCCGCGTCCACAGCGCCCGTATCCACCGCGGGCGTCTCGAGGGCATCAAGCTGACGGGCGACCCCAACGTGCCCCGCGGCGAGCGCTCCTTTGTGGCGCCCGACCTCGGCGACGCCGGCCTCGACGTCGTGATCGACGAGGCGCCCTTCCAGGGCGTGCGCGTCGTCAAGAGCGAGGGCCACATTGCCGGCACGGGCTTCCGCAACGACCGCTACGTGGAGTCGCGCCTGCTGCTGATCTCGCCGAACCACCTGGCGCAGTACTGGGTGGGCTTTGGGCACATTTCCTTTTTCGAGCGGGTGGACATTGACAAGTTTGTGGATGCGATTGGGTAAACCATGGACACACAATGGACGCAAAATGGACAGGACAATGGACGACCGGTGGAGGACGTGACGATTTATGACAACGATACCATAGAACGCTATGTACACAAAACGGGCAAGTTGTATAGGTACGGCGGCACAGGCGGCTACTCTTATGTATATACATCCTACCTCCCATGATATGCTAAATTGAAACACATCTGCTGGCCGCATTGCATTCGAGCTGTGCAATTTGATTTCTTTGTGCGATGTGTAAGTGCTAGGCTGACTTTGGCCGAGGCCGTTCCTGGTTACGAAGTACTTTTTGGTGCTGTTTCAGGGCGCATCCCACCACGCTAACCACTGGTGACGTCAGGGGGTTTCACAGCGAATTGCTCTGTGCACATGTAAATTCAAAATTTTCACCACGTTGACGTCGACTCGCGGCCCACTCACGATCCAATTGACAACACAGCACAACGTCCCCGTGGCCAGCATGCCCTCTCCCGACGAATACCGCATCCTCGTGTCCGCCGGCACTGACTACGACCCGGCCACCCACGTGCCCGTGCGCGTCAACTCTGCAACGCCGCTGCACCTGCAAGGCCCTGGCGGTGATGTCTGGCTGAATGTGCGCGTCAAGAACTACCGCGGGCCCGAGCGGCACCCCGAGGTGGGCGAGGTGCCCGACCCGGTGACGTCGCCGTACTTTGAACGGGAGCCGCACAAGACGAACGATGACACGTACGGGATCGGCGTGTGGTTTGTTCCTCGCGCGCCGGCCGGCAAAGACGGCGAGGACGGCGAGGACGGCGAGGACAGCGGCGACAGCAGCGTCGCAGGCATCAGTGGCACCGACCTCCAATGGGGCAACGACTTCGACGAGCCGCTCCGGGACCGCCTGCCGCCCGGGTTCGGCGCGGCCTTGCGCATCGTCAAGTGGTGGATCGATCCCGGACTGGAGGGCGATCCGTATGCGGACAAGCCGTACCTGTACGGGCCAGCCCTGAGTTCGTTTAACCAGGTGTATGCTGCTCTGGGTGACGTGCCTTTTGACGAAGACGACACGCACGAGACAGATGAGCAAAACGAGGAAGTCGAGGACGATGAGGAGGAAAAGAATAAGAGCGCCCGCAGTAACGAAAAGAAAATCGAGCAAAGCGAGGATAAAAACAAGAGCGAGCGAAGCGAGGACCAAAAAGAAAACGGGCGAAGCAAAGACACAACGGACCACACACAGCCGCCGGTCGACGCCGACTGCGGTCTATGGTTCGGCGAGGGCGGCGACGCCGGCGGACGGGCCTGGCGCGCGTCGATTGGCGCGCCGGGCGACGGCACGGGCGACGGCAAGGTCCGCATGAAGTGGGCGCTGGGCGCCGACGCCAAGGCCACGTGGAGGTGGCAGTACGGCCAGGGCTACGGCCTCGACTTCTACAACGGCTACCTGGACTTTGCGGACCTCACGCTGCGGCTGCCCGGGTTCCACCTGCCGCTGCTGCGGTACTATGCGAGCGACAAGGCAGAGAAGACGTGCCTGCGGTATGTGCTGCGGCACCGAGGCACGGGGCAGGTGTACTTGGTGGTGGTGTTCCGGCTGGTGCGGTCCACCAACAAGGACGGCGGCGAGGACGACGAGGAGACGGACACGGGTGACGTCGAGGAGGAGCCCGCCGACGTCGACGAAGACATGATTATCGACGAGGCACGGCGGAAGCTGTCGGCGCAGGACATCAGCGCGGACGATGTGGACTGAGTGTTTTCCTTTTGCAGAAGCGATGTTCGATACAACTCTATTAAACGATGCCATTGATTCTATTAGACGATGCCATGAATTCTATACGCTTTTTTATGTTATGCACAATCTACCATGTTCTGTTTCCGGGTATCATCTATCGTGTGGCGCGGCGATCATTGCGTTTCTATCCTGCTGTCATGGACGAGGAGACTGCCGTCGCCGTTGGCGTCCTCCTGTCTCCCGTCTCCGTTCTTAGGTCGCCAACGCCTGCGCAAACTTGCTCCGCCGCCGGATGCGGTCGCCAAAATAGAGCAGCACCCACGGCACCAGCGTCAGGCCCGTGCCAATGGCGCCCAGCAGCGCGCCCGCCCGCGCAATGCCCATGTTGGTAAAGAGCGGGCGCATCACGAGCGGGAAGATGCCGCCTAGCACGTTGCGACAGCAGCCCTGCGCGGCGAGTGCGGAGCTAGCGAAGCGGTGGTAGACGTCGGCCAGGTAGTTGAAGGTCGACAGGTAAATGGCGAAAATGCCGACGGTGGAGATGCCGATGCCAAACACCGGGGCAATCCAGTGGTAGTCGGGGCGGGCCGTGAAGCCAAAGATGAAGAGACCGACGGGCAGCAGGATGGACGTGACACAGGCGCCGCACAGCCGTGCTTCGGGCACGCCGCCGGCCTGGAAACGGGCCCGGAGGGCGGCGGGCAGCGGCAGGATGGTGAGGAGGTAGCGGTCCTGGTAGAGGCCCATGACGGTGGCGACGGCCGCGCCGACGAACATGCTGGAAAAGGTGTAGCCGGCCTGCTGCATGTTGAAGTCGTAGACCTCTTCAAACACCAAGAAGATGCTGCCAAAGGTGAGGTAGAGCACGGCCCACGCAAACGCCACCCAGAGCGAGAAGAAGAAGACGACGGGCTCGGTGAAGAACATGTGGAACGGGCGGTAGACGGACATGCCAATCAGCTTCCAGACGGTCGTGCGGTCCTCGTCGTCCTTGACCACCCAGCGCACGCGGCGGAGCGCAGACGTCGGGCCGGACGACGACGGCGATGGCACCTCGCGCGCCATGGTCGTCTTGGGCTCGCCCTCGACGCGGCGCTGCGACTGCCTAGCCAGCGGCGGCAGGCGGGCGTCGTCGTCGTCGGCCGGCAGCCACACGCCAAAGTAGCCGGCCGCCTCGCGCGCCGTATACCACGCGTTGAGGGCCTTGGCCTTGCGCGACAGCAGCACGGACCCGCGGCTCTCGTGAAACAGAAAGACGAGGGCGACCATGAGTACGGCGTCGGCAATGACCTGGTGCCAAAACACCCAGCGCCAGGGCGCGCGCACGCTCGTGTCGGTGGCGACGTCGTGGGCGTTTTGCGGGTACGTGGTGCGGTAGGTGATGACGGCCGACACCAGCGGCCCGCAGCCAGTGGCAAAGAAGACGCAGCCGCTAAACAGCGCCATGGGCGTGTTGCGGCCCTCGGCGTGCCACATGTCGGCAATGACGCCGCCGACCACGGTGCTAAACACGGAGCCGCCCACACCCACAAGTAGCCGGGCCACGAGCATGGCGCCCACGTCCGGCGCCGCGCCGCTGACCACCTGGAAAACGAGCATGACGCAGCCGGCAAACACAAACACGGGGTAGCGGCCGTTGTACTCGGACAGCGGGGCCATCAGCATGGGCGCCAGCGCAAAGCCCAGGCAGTACACCGTGATGCCCGCAAACAGCGTGACCGTGGACGACGTGCCAAAGGCGGCCGACATGCGCTGGACCGGCGGCGAGAAGGAGCCGGCGCAGTACGCCGTCAGAAACGTGGCGATGCACGACAGCGCAAGCATTGTATACTTGCGGCGGTCGGACCAAAGATGCGGGTCGGTGAATGGCTTGAGGTTGGGCGGCGGCGGTGGTGGTGCGGCGGCAAGGTCTGTGTTGTTGTCGTTGGCGGCTCTGCACGGAGATGTGTTGGGCGGCGGCAGCTCGGTGGCATAGGTAAAGTAACGATGCTCAATATGCAGCGCGGACGGGTCGACCGTGCTGCCATCAATGCCGGCATCGGCACGGTGCGGCGCCGATGTCGACGTGGGCGCGGCCTCTTGGACGCGAATGTCGCTGGCCGTGTCAGACGCAGACTCCTCGAGGCTGCCGTCAATGGCTGTCTTCTCTCCCTCCTTGTCGATGGCCGAGTCGAGGCTGGAGCGGGAGGGTCCGTCGGCCCGGCCCACCGGAGACACTGTGGCCATGGCAGCGTGTTTTTGACTCGGATGCCTTATGCCCGGATGCGATTTATTCTGAGTGGCGATGTATCACCAGGCAAGGACGGAAGTTCATGCCATCCAAAAGCCAGACTGGGACGAGGGCCCATGTGCTGTTTAAGTGGTGTCGGCAGGGGAGATATGATGACAAAACAGAGAAATCGAAATAAATGTCCTAAAAAGGAAAGAATCAGAGAAATAACGAAATCAACCGGTAACGACAGAATTAGGAAGGTCCATGCACAATATCGATTCTCGATGGTGTGTCAAGCGTTGTTGTTTTGCCAGTATTGACGGGGTAAGAAATAAGAGGCCAAAAAAAAAAAAAAAAAAAACCTTTTTCATGGTCACAACGGTAGTAAAGGTCAACCGTTTCGGCAGAAGTTGGATGTGTAGTCATAGATGCCGAAGTCGCGAGCCAGTGGCCAATCGCACAATAGGAAAGTGGATGCAGATAAAAATGCATGCCAAAAAGACAAACAACCGCATGGAAAGAAAATGTCCACAATCCCCTTGTGTCCAATGACGAGTGGCGGCCACAAACGCACAAACGACACACGCCCTTCGGTCGACGTGCGGATACCCGTCCTCTGCGCGTGTGTACATGGAGCATGCCGTCTTTCGGCCGTGTCCCCTCTGTTCATTCTCTTCGTCCCTCAAATCTGCAATCCCCTGCTAAAGGCCGGCGCCGCACCCACTTGGCACCCGCCCATTAGCCCGAGCACTAACCCAACAGAGGGGACGGGATCCGCAGGTCGGGTTGCAGCGCCATGTTCGGCGTATTGCTGGTTTGCCTATGAAGGCTTCTTTGGGAGGAGCATCTCCGCGTTGTTGATCAAGGCGTCGACACGGCTTCTATAAAGAAAGAGGTCGATGAAGACGAGGTATGTTGACGGATCCGACGAAGCAGCTGCATAAAAGGACGGGTCATCAAATGCAGGGCGAAGATAGCGAAGCGACAACGAATGGTAACGAAATCGATTCAGATGCTGCAGCCGCCCCTGGTCCTGCATCTCGGTGGCCTACACGTAGAACGTTTTCTTTTCGATTTTTCTTGCCTTTTTGACTTGCTGTTAGTTTCATTTCCCGATGCGGCGTTCAACCTGCAGCCAGGCGGTTGGATGCGGGATTGATTAGTCTTGTGGAGGTTATTGCCGGCTTTCGGCTCCAATCATTGTTACCTCCGGACAGCACAGCTGAGGCCGCGGACTGTTGTAAATGTCCCCGATTGGAACACTGCATTGTTATTTCCGACGCCTGTCTACTGTGTATCGTTCTGGTCCGTTGTTGTGTCGACTAAGAACTGAGTAAAGTATAACCTTCGCGGTTCTTTCGTAGTACGTAAATTACTCTAAAACACCTGGGCGGTTGTCATGGTTCGACTGCGGAGGCACCTAGCGGCAGTTGAGCACGGTATGACTTACAAACGTTGCCTCATGGGGAACCACCATTGGCCTCGTCGATGTGGCGGTGCCAATGTAAAAATGTGTTGCCAGTCCTATTGATCTTCTTGTTGGGGCTTCATGTCACCGTCTGTCAGGATGAACACGCGTCACATGACCACGCGCCACAGACCGGTGCACACCTTCCTCAGCCGAGGCAGCGTAAGTTGCATTGTGTCCCCCCAACTGGCATCAACTCTCAACGTTGACAGTTCCAAACTCCATTCTCTCGACAGGATGCCTGACCTCCAGCGATGCCTTGCAACTCCATGAGATATTGAAGGCCGTCGTGCGTTGTGCACCACTGTTGACATCACAGGCATACAACATAATCCGTACAGTACTAGGTCAAAATCACGTGACTGCGCCCTTCGACTAACATCGACGTCGAGAAGGTCGATCAATTCACAGCATCCTCGCTGCCTCACCGTTCCAGCCTCCCGGGAGCTGCGTGTCAGATGTGCAATTGAAACAGGGCGTCAGCATTGGAACTGCGCATCATTGAAAGCGGAGTCCGTGTGAGCATCAGACACCCTCTCAGTAAAGGTGTGGATCCAACGACGACGTGCCGAGGCTCAGATCCCGTTCTTGAAAAGCAGCCGACCGCCGTCTATCAGAACCACGGATTTCTGTCCTTCCCCGTGCTCTTGTAGTATAATTGCAAGACAACTATCGCGCTACTTCCCCATTTCCAAATTTCGACCACCACCATGGCTCCGACCTTGCGTGACCTCGTCTCCATCGAGGCCCTTGGCCCCAACGAGTTCGTCTCCAAGATCAACCCCGTCCGCCTCGGCAATGCCGCCCCAATTGCCTACGGAGGCTGCGCCCTCTCCACCGCCATGCGGGCCGCCTTTGCCACCGTGCCCGACAACGCCGGCTTTGCGCCCTACTCCATGCTCGGCCACTACTTGGGGCCGGCCGCGACCGACCGCAAGCTCTATGCGCGGGTGACGTCGACGCGCCAGAGCCGGTCGTTTGCGACGCGCCGCGTGGAGATCCGCCAGAAACTCGACAATGGCCAGTTCCGCAACTGCCTCGAGGCCACCGTCGACTTCCACGCCCACGAGCCGTCCGTCATGGAATACTCGGCGCCGACCTGGGGCCAGTGGGCGCACCCCGAGGACTGTCCCGTGATGATTCTCCACGCCGGGGCCGACGACGACGCCATGGTGCGGCGCGTGGCCACCGAGGCCCAGGCCGCCATGTTCCGGCAGACCTTTGCCTCCATGGCGGCCTTCTTCGAGACGCGGAACTGCACCAACGGCGTCGCCGCGCAGAACCTCAACGGCGTCGTCAAGACCGCGCAGACCACGCAGCACACGCTGCCGCTGACGGCGCGCCTCTCGGCCGACTGGTCGCGCGGGCTGGACGCGCTCGCGACGCCCGCCGAGAACTTTGCCGCCCTCGTCTTCCTCATGGACGGCGGCCTGTCGTTCCTGCCGCTCTGCCACGGCAACCTGTGGTTTGACGACGTCGGCGCCTGCTCGAGCCTCGACTTTGCCGCGCGCTTCTTCACCGGCCAGGTCCGTGTCGAGGACTGGGTCCTGCGCGAGCGGCAGACCTCCCGCGCCGGCGAGGGCCGGACCTACAGCGAGGGGCGCTTTTTCGACGTGTCCGGGCAGATGGTGGCCTCCATGACGCAGCAGAGCATCATGCGGGCGCGGCCGGCGCGGGCAAAAAAGGACCAGGCTAGGATGTAGAACGAGAACGAGAACAAGAGCAAGCACCAGAACCACAACTAGAACCAGAAATGCGTCGTGCAGGGCGACGATGCGCGAGTCTTTTATATGTTGGTAGCTGGTATTTACCACACGTTTTGCTATTTGTAGATTATTATGACTATAATGATTTTCCAACATTAAAAAAGTACTAGGGAATTTGACGGCAACGTACGCATCTTGCTGCGCGGGAATAGACAAATTGTACATTAAAAAACAAAAAGAAAGGGAGGTGCAGCGCCGGCATTCTTGCTCCACGCGCATGATCTGCAGCTAGAACTCATAGTATCGAACCTTGGTGCCTCCCATCATGACGTACTGAGGCGGCCCTGACCTTTGACCACGGGCCGATTCCGCATCTCCATCTTGTGCGACTTGCTGTGTTTCAGTCACGGGTGTGTATGGTTCTGTGTGTTGTCGTTGCTGTTGTTGATGATGATGCTCTGGCGTCGGAACCGCTGGCACTTCTATATGGTGGCCGTCTGCTGGCATCTCGACCCGCGGTGGTGCTGGTGCCGGTGACGTTGCTGGCATCTCGGGGTATTGTGCAGCGCCACCGCCAATCTCGTGGATCAGATGCGGCGGGTGAGGTTGGGGTTGTGCCAGTTCAGCTGCCGTGGGCTGGGGCTGGGACGGGAACGGAGACTGCACCGGCGAGACGTTGCTGACAGTCGATGCCTGAGGCTTCGGTGTGCCCGTCTTGTCGAGCTCGGCCATGGGGTATTGTTGGTACGCGTTCATCGGTGGCGGTGGCGGGCCCGGGACCGGGGCTGGAGCAGCTGGAGCCGCCATCTGGTACGGCACTTGGCCTGGAGCTTGACCAGGGGCCCAGGCGGATTGCGCGGCGATCAGCATGGCCTTCTTGTTGGCTCGGTGCATGGCGCGGCGCATGTTGCGACGATGGCATTCGATGCAGGCCCGGACGAAAAGAATCATGTTGACGACGCTGCACGGTTAGTCGTTTGTTGTCCAAAAAAAAATGGAAAAGGAAATAAGACGGCAGACGGGCAGACGCCAACATACACGAGAGGCCAAAGGCAAATGCACAGAGCCAATTCCATGGTCAGGTAATGAGCGTATCCTTTTGTCTTCTCGGCCACGGGCAGCGAAAAGTCCGACAGCCACCAGTACGTGAAGAGGGAATCCAGCGAGTATTCGGACGCGACAAGTCCGCCGGCCGCTGTGCCGGCCAGCCAAATGATCAAGTGTATGCCGACATGCGCGCCGGGGTGGATGCCGCGGTTGCGTCGGACTGCGAGCGTGACAAGCTCGGCAGCGGGCCACAGAATCGCGAGGATGCCCTTGGTCAGTCAGTGCGATGCTGGACTCGGCACGTTGCTAACGTTGCTCACGCTGCTCATTGTCGTCGAACGTCGTGGACACTCACCGGTGGAAACGATAGCGCGGCATCGAAATAGCCATTGACGGTGGGATACGGCGCCTGGGCCGCAATGACGCCGCCGCTGATACCGGACACGACAATGCCCGTGATGATGCTGAGGCCCTCGAGGCCGGCCTTGGCGAAGAACCACTTGCGGCCGCTGACGATTTTGTGCGAAACGTCCTTGTTGCTGGGCGCGACCGGTGCCAGTGGCACAAACCCCTGAGAGGCCTGGTAGGGCGCTGGCTGTTGGTATTGCATATTGGTCATGGCCGCGATCCTGCTCCAGACGATGCGAAATTGAAAATACGAAGCACAAAATCCAAATCAAATCAAATCACAGTCGCCAACAACACAAGAAAGGAAAAGATAATGTCACTGTGCACCTTTTCCATACTCTACTGTATTTCGACGCACTCCTCTATTGTACTTGGTATTCCATCGTGGCTTCTGACGTTCAGTTTGTCTGCCCGTATTTACACTTACAGGGTTGTCCTCGTTTGCCATTTCCGGCAAAGATCACCATATGGGGGCAGATGTGCACTGCTAGAAAGCCTTGCCCATCTCGTCCAGGATTGGTGCCACTTCTCGCCGCCCTGCCTTACAGGGGCATAACGGAGAGTGCCGACCAGAGAACAGAGAGTGATCGACAAGGGCCACCAACAGAGCCTGAAACAGACTGCGCAAACGGCTTGTCAAAAGCAGGGCGCAGAGAGAAATTGGCAATGGGAAATGGGAGTGGGAAATGGAAGAAATGCAAGGCGACCAGAAAAGGACGGACGTAGCAGCGGCAACGAACCGGGGGCGGTGCAGCTTAAAGCTTATTTTCTCAAGACGGCAAACGACTTGTTGGTCAGTGCGTTTGTTCGCCAGTCCCGTATTCCGTATTCCATGGAAAGGAGTCGCAAGATACAGATGGTATCTTACAGCGTAAGAAGAACATACTCTGCATGCAATACAGCGTGCACATGTTGTACGTACGAGCGACCAAGAAACGCTTTCATTTAGGCTGCTGGGACTCACCCGTCTATTTATTCATACAGTCTTCGGGTATCTTCTATCACGCCATGCCGGCCGTCGCGTCCATTTACACGGTTGCCGGTGTCACCTCCTGTACAATCACAGCTTGCTGTGCATGGCCAGCTGGTTCCGCTTGCTGTCGCCTCCGTGCGCCACCTTGACGGGCGCGTCAAACACCGTCGCGTCCTTCTTTTCCTGGCGCGCCTCGAGCGCGGCATAGTCCCGCGCCGCCTCGCCGACGTACACCTGCCGCGGCCGCCAGATCTTGACGCCCTTGGGGTCCAGCATCATCTGCCGCCAGTGCGCCAGCCAGCCGACGCACCGCGGCACGGCAAACAGCACCGGGTAGAAGTCGAGCGGGAAGCCCATGGCCTGGTAGATGAGGCCCGAGTAAAAGTCGACGTTGGGATAGAGGCTGCGGCTGCGCATGAACTCGCTCTTGGCGGCGTGGTCGGCCAGCGCAATGGCCGTGTCGATGAGCTGGTTGCGGCCGGTGACGGCAAACACCTCCTCGGCGAGCTTGCGGATGGCGACGGAGCGCGGGTCGACGTTCTTGTACACGCGGTGGCCGAACCCGACCAGCACGCGCTCGCGGCGCTCGACGGCCTGCATAAACGCCGGCACCTTGTCGGGCGACCCAATCTCCATCAGCATGCGGATCGCGCTCTCGGACGCGCCGCCGTGGCTGGGGCCGTAGAGCGCGGCGCAGCCGGCGGCGACGGCGCTGTAGGGGTCGACCAGGGAGCTGCCGACCTGCAGGACGGTGGCGGTGCTGCAGTTGATTTCGTGGTCGGCGTGCAGGATGAAGAGCGCGTCGAGCGCCTTGGCCAGCACCGGGTGCGGGCGGTAGGTATCGCCACCCGACAGGTTGTCCAACATGAAGAGGAAGTTGCCCGTGTACGACAGGTCCTGCGCGCTGCCGGGGCGGTTGAAGGGGCGGCCCTGGCGCATGCGGTAGGCGGCGGCCGCGAGGGTGGGCGCCTTGCCGATGATGCGAATGATTTGCTTGTCGAGCGTGCGCAGCGCGTCCATGTCGCCGCTGGCGGCGCGCGTGTAGAGCTTCTGGCCCTGCAGCGACGGGTTGGCCTCGGGCGCAAAGGCGCCGAGGCTCGCAAAGGTGGCCGTCAGCATCGACATGGGGTGCGAGTCGTAGCGGAACGACTTGAGCATGCCCTCAATGTCGGTGTGCACGTACGTGTGGTGCATGACCTCGTCGCGCCAGCCGCTGTACTGCGCCGCCGTCGGCAGCTCGCCGTAGATGAGCAAGAAGGCCGTCTCGAGAAAGTTGCTGCGGGCCACGACCTGCTCGATCGGGTAGCCGCGGTACCGCAGCACGCCCTCCTGGCCGTTGATGAAGGTGATGCGGCTCTGCACAACGGCCGTGTTCATGTAGCCCGGGTCCAGCACGCGCAGGCCCTGGGGTGTCTCGTCCTCCTCGCGGTCGCCGGGCTGCGCGGGGGCCCGGACCTTCTTGATGTCGGTGGCGAGCACCGTGTTGTTCTTGATGGGGATCTCGTAGACCTGGTTGGTGCGGTTGTCGACCACCGTCAGCGACTGACGCGGTCCTTTGGCGACGGCGACCATGCTTGCGAGCTTTTGGGGGGGGATGTGGTGTTGTATCGAGAGGGATTGTTAAATTTTTTAAATCAAAGAGGGTCTCCTCGCAAAGATGCCGCCTGTTTCTGTACAAAAAGCCAATACAACGACAAACCCGACGAGGAATGGTTTAAGCTTTGGCTAGGAATGCAAGAGACCGACCGCGGCTCGACCTCGGCTAAGAAGAGAAGACTGGGCCATTGCTCGGCGCTGGGGATAAGCTGCACTAGCACATGTTTGAACCACTGTGGAGTAGGCGCACGGCTGGAAGCGCCAGACTAGGATGACGTCAGCCTCACGGCTCGGTGCACGTGCCGAATTTCGCAATGCACAACGTCGCTTCCCGATCCGTCGTTACGACCATTGTTCCTTCCTTCACGAGCACACTAGCCGTTTCAGCTGACACGTGCCGCGTAGCGAGACAAAGGAATGACATGAATTCGGGTATCGACTGCTTCGCCTACACTGTTCTCGCTGCACTACCAAACGAGCGGCGTGTCAAGATGCCGTTTCTTCTGCAGCCGTCGCCGCGACCGGTCCTGCCGGTCTTGCCGGCCCTGCCTCTCCTGTCGGCCTCTGCCAATGATGCTCATAGTGCCTGCCCATACTCGGTGACCTGACTCTTGTTCCAGCTGAGACATGTGACCCGACTCAGCACAGACGTCCATTGTCCCACCTATCTTTTCGTCAACGACATCGACACGGTCCCCCTCCAACTGCAGAGGCGATCCAACCACGCCGACAGCCAGACCCGCGGCCGCCAGACAATCCGCGACAAAGCTGCTTTGGGGTGTCCCACAGACGCCCAACATGGCCACGAGTGGCGGCCGCGGCCGACTCCTGTTGCGGCTGCCGCGCTGGATGCTCGACGCGACGGGCGGGGCCAGACGCGGGACGACGGCCAGGCGGTTGCCTACGTCGAGCGCACGCGTGAGGGACGGCACGGTAAGCTTGGGCGGTGGGAGGGGAAACGTACGCGTTGTGGACGCCAGCGACGACGACGATGACGACGACGACGATGACGACGAAGGGGACAAAAATGTCAAGGACGACGACGGAGACGGCGAGGTTGTTTGACTGTCACGCGTCGAAGACGTCGCTGTCTTGGCATCGTCGTCGTGGCCGAGGTTAGCCTGTGCGCCGATCGGTGGCGGCAGAGCCGGCTGTGTCGCTGACAAGCAGATTCGGCCCAGGCTCCGACCGCCGTCGACGTAGGCACGATGGCCGGGCAGCAACGGATATGCGTCGGACGGTGACTGCTTGTAGATGTCGATCTGGGAGAACGATTCGTTTGTCCCCGTCACGCTCAGGATGGACAGCATCGTTGTTGTAAACGCCGGCAAGAACCCAACCAGCCGCATCGACACCACCCGCCCGGCCAGACGGCCCAGCTGCGCGGCGACGTGCTCCACCTCGGGCCCGACGTACGGCACGTCGCCTGCTGTGGTGCTTGCTGGTCGGTTCCCGTAGTAGCGGCGGCACAGCACAACCAGCTGCCGCAAAGGAAACACGCTTGTCGATATGATGCGCTCGACAAATCTCTCGACCAGCGCGCCCATGCTCAACAGCCCGGGCTGCAGGCCTGCCGCGGCCGGGTGCATGCGGTACCCGAGCCGCGTGCAGTCCAGCTCGAGCGTGAGGGCCGGCGACCGGCCCATGACGCCGACATACCGCTGCAGGTAGAGCGTGGCCAGGGGGCAGACGGCCAGGCGGACGTAGGGAGAGAAGACAATGTGGACGCGGCGGGCGTGCCAAAATGCGGCGACGACCTCGGCGCGGAGGGCAAAGGAGGCGTGGAGCGCACCTAGAAGCGGCGCGAGGGCGAGGGCGAGACTGTCAAAACTCTCACGGGGCCAGACGGCACGCGTAAACTCTTTGGGGGTTGAGGCGGATGGGACGGTCGGCGGACGGAGCGGACACGAGGTGCTGGTAGAGACGAAAGCGGACGGCCGCCGGGAGACGAAGGAGCGATGGCGATGCATCCTCTGCCGTTTGCTGTGGGCATTCGCGGCCAAAGATGCTGTACACCTGCGAGACGGCCTGCTGCCACGAGTCGGTGTGGTCGACCGTGGCTCCTCCGCTGCGCGAAAATCTGGCATCGCAAGTCCGGTCCCATGGAGGTGGTATCGGTGGTGGTGGAAGGGGTGATGGCGGCGGCGGTGAAAGTGGTGCCGTCTTGTGAGAATCCGGCGATGGTGGCGCCTCTTCTTCGGAAATCGCGGACAGGTGGAGAGACGGGTACCGTTCCCGGGATTTTCTGCACGGCGAGGCCATTGTCGGTGCGGGTATGTTGGACGGCAATGGTATGTAAGAGAGTAGTGAGTGTGGGGGAGGGGGGGAGGCATTACGGCTGAAGAGACGGCGCAGGTTGTAACAACGAAAGGGAAGGCGATGATAAGAGGAGGATGTCATATTAAATGTCTACACAACGACGCACAACCTGCCAGCTGGAGACGCCCGGCCTCGTCTGCCGGCCGGTACGAAGTGTCTCTGCGGCGTGTGGTGTCTCGAGGAACCGCAGCGTCAGTGAGATGTTTTATTTTTGGGTCCAGGTCCGTCTGGGGACATCCAGTCTCGATGAGCATGCAGTGGATAATTTGCAGTGCTGGCCTGGCTTCCTGCTACCTGCTGTGACATGTTTAGGAATGAGGAGATGGCAGGGACCCGACTCCGATGCAGCTATCCGCGGGGCGTCGTAGTGTGCTGGCCTTGTTTCTGTCCAGCCTTTCTGTATTCTGTACCCTGTATTCTGTATTCCGCGTTCCGTATTCCTGTATTGCTTTGATTACGACTCGGATGCTGTTGTTCGCCAGTCTCTCCTTGGCCTTGGCGCCCGTTGTTCCTGCATCTTCCCGACGGCGGCTGGTTCCATGTGCTGTGTACAGAGTACGACGTACAAAGTTCACGCTTCTTTGTTCTTTTCTTTTTTCTTTTTTCGTTTTTCGTTGTCTTTTTTCTTTATTCTTTATTCTAGGCTTTTTGTACAACGTCCACCGACAGCTTGCATGCTACCCTTGTTCATTTCAAAAGAAAAACAAAGACCCTTTCGTCAAGCTGCACGTTGTGTTTTGGATACATTACAAACGACAACACATGGCAACGAGGCGATGAACTGACGATGCTGACACTTTGTTTCTGTCATTTTATTTCTCGTACAACAATGTCTCGTCAATCTGCGGTTTCACTCGACGGCGACAACCGCACGTGCGTACGTGAGTACATGTGTACGGTGTGAAGATGTAGAGTCAGGGCGGGTAGCAAGCCGCTTGCCCGAGGAAGACTGGGGGAGAAAGTAATCAGCAGAATAAAGAAATAAATAAAACAAACTGGAAACTATGTTCACGCTGTCTGTTAGGCACAAACCCTTCTTTTCTGTTCATAACGTGCAAGTCAATGCTATTGCGAGTTGAACATACTGTGTTCTCCCTTCTCAAACGCAGAATCAAAACGTCTTTCACTTTCTTGTAAACATTGTCCTTGGATGAACATGACAACCGTCCACTGTCGTAGACAACGGGTATAAGTAGACTACTCATGTGGCGGCGGTTCTGTGCCATCTTGATGTCATGAGAAGTGACAACAAACAAAACCTACAGATACAAACGAGACAACAACACATACAACCACAAGCCCGACAGCCAAACAGCCCGACAGCCGAAATGTCGGACAGCCTCCTTGCCCGCATCCCGCAGGAGCTCCTCTTGCCCATCATGGCGGACGCTTTCCCGGACAGTGACCGCTTCCACGACAACGTAGACATGACAACGGAGGGGCATCTGGCGCAGCGGCAGGCGCTGCAGGAGATTGTCGAGGACGCCGGCGCTGTGCTGCCGGTGCTCGTCCGCCGTGCGGCGCTGGACGTCTCGATGGGCTACCTGCAGCCGACGACCATGGCCGCCCTGCTGGGGGAGGTGGCTCGCTTCCAGGCGCAGCCGGCACTAGGCCGGGCGGTGCGAACGCTTGTGTTGGACGTGGGCTTTCTGGCGAGTTCAGGTGCAGGTGCAAGTGGTGGCGGTGACGTGGAAACGTCTGATAATGCCGAGGAGGATCCTCTCGTAGACGTATACCGCCTGGCGCACGAGCAAATGCCGGTGGGTGTCCAGATGCCGGCCGACAGCGAGTATGGCAGCAGTAGCAGCGGCGATGGCATGGATGACAGCGACGGCATGGACGGCACAGATGCCGGCTCCGACGCCGAATCCACACGCCTTCCGGCGTGGGTGGCGCGCTGGGGCGTTCCTCTGACGCGCCTCCTGCAGCGCACGCCGGGCCTGTCGGCGCTGACGATGGGACTTCGCGGCGCCGCATCGATTCCGGCCATTGATGGCGACGACGACGCCACGGCGGACGACGACACCAACAGCCGCCTGTCGCTCCCCCGACTCGCGTCGCTCTTGTTCGACCAGAGCCATCCCTTCCACGGCGGCGGCGTCCTCGACACGTCTGGGATGATTATGCGCAGCTGCCCCAACCTGAGGGAGCTGTATCTCTCGGGCATCGACCAGGTGGTCGACAGACACCAAGGTCCAGGTCAAGGTGAGTCTTCTTTTCCTTTGTCTGTGTCTTCGTCGTCCCCTACTCTAACTCACCTCAAGGCCTTGTACTTTCTACGGGGCGTGCGCCTGACGCCCAGTGCACTGGACCGCGTTCTGTGCATCGTCGGTCCACATCTCACCAAGGTAAGCGTCGAAGTGCCGGGTGGCGGTCCCCGGTGGACGACGCCGCACATGGCAGCGTTGGTGGCAGGCGCCCCTGCTGACGACGACGACAACAACAACGACAACGCCACGCCCGCCGACGACAGCGAAACGCGCTGCTACACGACGCGCGAGCTCGTGACCCGCCTGCTGCCCTGGGCCGGCTCGCTGCAGTACCTGCGGCTGGTCACCCGCTTCCAGCACGAGCTCAGCGTGTGCCGCCGCGAACGATCCGAGGCCCGCCGGCAACGGACGGCGCCGCCGCCGAGCATCATGTCGCTCGTGGCCCAGTTCACCCGCCTCCAGAACGCCTGGTTTGGGCCCTACGCCTGCCGCCCGGCCGTCCTGGGCCTGCTGCGGGCCGTCCGCCGCGGCCACTTCCCGTGCCTGGCCGCCGTCGTCATCGACGTGCCCCTGAGCGACGACGACGTGGTCGAGGTGGACGTGGGCGAAGACGACGCTGGTGGCACGCGCACGCTGCCGGTCCAGGTGCCGCACGCGCACGGCTTTGTGCGCGAAGACATGTCGCCGCAGCGGGGCTTCTGGTCGGCGCGCCAGCTGTGGCGGGAGCAGCTCAAGCGGGAGCGCGAGGCGGCGCGGCAGCAGCAGATGCAGGCGCAGGCCGAGCTGCAGGACAGCTCAGATCTGTTTATGCCCCAGTAGAGTCACATCGACATGATGCCATGTATACGTTGTGGACAAGGGTGAGCAAATTGGTTTGTTATCGTTTCATTTGTCGTTTGCTGGTTTCTTTTTCATCTCCTTTGTTTACTCTCGTAAGAAATAAAATACTTTACTTTTTTTTTTAAAAAAAAAAATTGACTGATGCAATAACAAAGTGACGTAGACGACAATAATTATTAAAAACTTAACGACGATGACAAACAACGGCTGCAAGCACTTGGTTTTGAATTTTGTCACGTCCGTCCTTCAAAGAGGCCATCACGTCCACTTCACAACTGTGCCACCTCTTTTGCAGACATCGTGGCCCACGTGCGTCTTTTTCACCCACAACGGAGTACTCTTCTTTTCTTTCTTACCTGTCTCGGCCCTACTTCTCTCTCGTCGTGTTCCTTGCTTTCTTCTTTTAATATACTCACCCGCCTCACCCCCACAGATGCCCCATTGGGAAAGGAAGTCAATACATCCCGGCTAAATTGCCCCAGTGCACCGCAAACTCGACATCGCCTCCCCCAGTCCGCAATTTCTACGGCACTCGTGGGCCGAAAATACAATGGCTTGATATGGGGGAGTGGGCTCGGTGCTATACGACCCGTTCCGGGGCAGATCTGGAGGCAGATGGGCAGCGTTGCGTGCCAATCTGTTTCCGCATCGACGTCGACATTGGTTGTCAGTTTTCGCCACTTTGATCGTCCACTTATGCTTACTCGTATGTTTCATTCTTCGTATTATGCTTATCGTGCCACTCCCCGGGACGCCTGCTCCTTCGGTATCACGGAATGGGCATCACGATGGACAGTCGCCATGGATGGACAACCAACCTGGCGCGTGCGTTTCTTGTCCTTTTTAGCAAGGTTGCATGCCCCAGACAATATCGAGCCCTTCCCTTTTTGCCAAATTGCAACTTTACGCGCCCCGGGACAGCACGGTGCGTGAGCACATAAATATAAAGAGGCCATCAAAACAAAACACCGCAGCCAGTAGCAAATAGCTCGCCCGGCGCGCCGTCGCGAGCAGAGTGCTGGCCACTGCGAACACAGAATGGCAAGTAAAGCAAGTGCATAAATTGCGCACTGGTTCGAGGCGGCAGATGCGCTTGGCGTGAGAAACCCGGGGAACCTGGGGTGACGAGGCCACAAGACGGACACGGACGAGAAGAGAGTGGCACAGTCGAAGGCGAGCAGGCGACTACATATACCAGTGATTTCCTTGGCCTTTTTTCTCGTCGACCATCATCATCATCATCATCGGCACCATCACCACCACTTTTTAGTCACTTTCGTTTCACTTCTCCTTGCCTCCATCGCCTTCCACCCCATTTCTTGTGTCTTTGTCGCCGCCACCATCACCACCACCATGCTGTCCTCCGTCCTGGGAGCGGCCGCTCTCCTCGTCGGCTCCGCCGCTGCCCACGGCGCCGTCACCAGCTACGTCATCGCCGGCACCAACTACCCGGGCTACCAGGGCTTCTCGCCCAGCAACTCCCCCAGCGTCATCCAGCGCCAGTGGCCCGACTACAACCCCATCATGCAGGCCAGCTCGGCCAAGCTGCGCTGCAACGGCGGCACCTCGGCCAAGCTCAGCGCGCCCGTCAAGCCCGGCGACAAGGTCGCGGCCATCTGGGGCCAGTGGACGCACTCGCAGGGCCCCATTCTCGTGTGGATGTACAAGTGCGCCGGCGAGTTTGCCTCGTGCGACGGCTCGGGCGCCGGCTGGTTCAAGATTGACGAGGCCGGCTTCCACGGCGACGGCGTCAAGGTGTTTTTGAACACGGAGACGCCCTCGGGCTGGGACATTGCTAAGCTCGTCGGCGGCAACAAGAACTGGACGAGCACCATCCCGCCCGGCCTCGCCGCCGGCAACTACCTGATCCGCCACGAGCTCATCGCCCTGCACCAGGCCAACACGCCGCAGTTCTACGCCGAGTGCGCCCAGATCGTCGTCGGCGGCTCCGGCACCGCCGTGCCCGATGCGTCGTACAAGGCTGCCATCCCCGGCTACTGCAAGCAGACGGACCCCAATATCCAGGTGGCCATTGACAACCACTCGATCCCGCAGACGTACACCATCCCCGGCCCGCCGGTGTTCAAGGGCACGGGTGCCAAGAAGGCGCGCGAGTTTGAGGCGTAGGTTGACGGGGAGGTCCCGGTGTATCGATATTGCATAGCCCATTTCCAGAGTAGAACGTCAATACAACTCACGCGTTGTTATAATAGTAAACATAAGTGACTTGATGAGCTGCATTGTAATAGATTGTAATGATTCATGCGGAGATGTTTTTTAAAGCTTTACAAACCTCCGTATTGTTGGACGACATTCGTTCTCATATGTCATTTCTTATTGACATGTTTGCAATATATGTTGCTACTTTATTTTTTCTTGGTCGTGTGTTTTGTTCCTTGTTTTTTATTCTTTAATACAATACTCCGTACCCCGTATGTCGTACACGTCTACACATTTACGCCATATCGTCTCAATGTCACTTTATCAGTGGGCCACCGATCTTACTGACCGATCCGCGCTTCATTCGCTCACAGAGGAATATGGTTATTCCCACTGATCACAGCAAACACCGCAGCCACATCAGGAATTTGGTAAGCTTTGAAAGAGCTTCGATGGAGGAGCCACAGCGCTTACAGAGTACTTGGAAATGCAACAATGTTTTGTCAGCCGACGCCACTGATCTGATTAGATTCCTGTTTCTGACGCTCCATTTAACGTGCGGCATATTGATTCGAAAATGTTGGGCCGCAGCCTCAAAGCCTAGTCCTAGTCCGTATTTCCATGCAGCGCCACAGGCCAGCGACCACGGATATATGATGTCCTTGGTGTAGAAAGCATCGCCAGATAAGTGCCGATGGAGATGAAAAGGAGGGGCTGGTCCCCTGTATGTCACCATTTATGCATCCGGTGGTAAATATTGGAGCAAGGCCATTTAGCAATGGTCTGGCCAGATGCCCAGCTATGTTCGTTTCTCCACAAAAGACATCCGAACGGATGCCGCACGGCGCAAAGAGAGCTGTCAGAGTGGCTGCAGACGGACACCAATTCATGCGTGGACATGTTTCGACGCATTGCAAAGCAGTCACCGTGCAGAGAGACGTCGTCGAGATGTTCCATCACCAACAGATGCCACAGCCGTAATTTATGCAATTGTGCCTTTTTTGCCTCTTTTGTCCTGTCAACTCGAAATTCTCCGGTGAAACCAATATCCAGCCGTCGAGCCAGCACCCAGCACGGTCTTCCCGTCTCCCGCGTGGATATTGTCGTGTGTTTTGGCTGACCACCTTGTGGGTTGTCTGTGGTCTGTTTCCACCGGTTTCTGCGTGTCCATGTCCTTGGCCGTTTATTTCCACTTCCGTCATTCTACTCCGTACACTACACACAAACGCCAAACGCTCCTCATTACCAGCCTCGCCTCCGACATTGGGCTGCCCAACGTGGCATCTTCTTGTCTGTTAGTCTTTTGTCTTCGAGACCGGCGCCAAAATGGCGAAATTGGCCGCGTCGCCCAACGCCAGTCCCACGCACGCGCCAGCACAGCTGTCTCGCGATCCACGCCCCGGCACACTTTCCAATGTTCGACTCATCTTGCTCGCCGCAGTGGGCCTTGTTGCGGCGGTAGGTGTGCCCTTGTTCCTGACCAATGCAACGCTGGCGTGGCTTGAGAGTACAGTAGGTCCAGGTCTCAATTGTTCAATCCCGTCGTCTTCAGTTCTTCAGCGGTCGTTTCTTTTCTTCTTTCTTTGCTACATCTCGTCTTGGAGCTTCCCTCTGTTGCTTGCGTAAGCGCGGAGCTCTAGAATGCCGTGCTGTCGGCTCGTGCTACATCCCGCTGGTCTCATTTCTCCCATTGCATCCATACCATCCATGCCATCCCCATTGCTGCCCCTACCCCTCACCTGTCCTCTCTGCCTTCTCCCCTTGCGTACATGGCCAAGCTGTATATAACGGAGGGCCCCCTCCTCTAGCTCGGCCCAGAGAAGGAGACCTTGTCCGTTCTCCCTTGCCATCACAAGTCTCCTCGCCATCGTCACATTTGCATCTTCACCACGCTCTCCACAGCAGCCCACGTCGACCCGTACGTTTTCTCCACTCAACCTAACTCGTCTCAAGAACCTTTTCGGAACCGTAGATACAATGTCCATTAAGAACGTTGCCGTTGCAGGAGTAAGTGGAAACTGTCAATCACCCTTCGACCCACAGTCTACTCTCGTCGACGCACCCCCACTAAACGGAACGTAGGGCACGGGCGCCCTCGGTGTCCCCATTGTCACGGAGCTCGTCAACAGCGGCTTCACCGTCACCCTCCTGACGCGGGAGGGCAGCACCGCCACGCCGCCTGCAGGCGTTGCCGCCGTCAAGCCCGTCGACTACACGTCGGTCGAGTCGCTTTCTAAAGCCATTGCCGGCCAGGACGCCGTCGTCTCCGTTCTGGGTTCGCTTGTCATTGGCGAGCAGGTACCGCTGGTCGAGGCCGCCGCGGCGCCCGAGAGCACGGTGCGCCGCTTCATCCCGTCCGAGTTTGGCATCGATACGCGCCTGACGCCCGGCCACCCCGTCGGCGTCATTCTGGGTGGCAAGACCAAGGTCGTCGATCTATTGGAGGAAAAGTCCAAGGCCAAACCATCGTTGACCTGGACGGGTATCAGCAACGGCCACTTCTTTGACTGGGGCCTAGACCGCCATATGTTTGGTATTGACGCCGCGAAGCGCACAGCCACCATCTACGACTCGGGAAACGAGCCCTTCCAGGCCGCCAACCTACCCTTTATCGCCAAGGCCGTCGTCGCCACGCTTCAACAGGCCGGCGGTAACCCGGCCGACGACAAGACCGCCAACCAGTACCTACGCATTGCCTCCTTCCTCCCAACACAGAACGAGCTCCTGGCCGCTGTCCAGGAGCTGACGGGCAGCGCCGACGGCTGGACCGTGAAACACGTCGACTCGGCCGAGGTCCAGAAAAAAGCCGCCGAAAAGCTGGCTGCCGGCGACTTCTCGGTGTTTGTGGACCTGCTGAGCGTGTGGCAGTATGCCGACGGCGCGGGCCACGCGCCCGACCCAAACAGCCCCACGTTTGGCAACACTGTGCTGGGGCTGCCGCAGGAAGACTTCAAGGAGACGTTGGCGGCCAAGCTCAAGAAGTGAGGCAACGCCGGCCTAGCGTAGCGGGTGGACGATGACGACGACACCCATCACGGGTCGGTGGTTGTCGATAGTTGTCGATAGTGTCGATAGAAATAAACATGCTGAAAGCAAACAAGTGTCCCGTGTCCTTTCCGCAGTAGCGTAGATGTAAGATGTAGCCCGTGGTCTGTCTCTACTCCGCCTGCTCGCCGCCCCAGCCTTTCAAAGGCACCACCGTCGGCTCGCCCGCGTTGCGCACCACCACCCACACCACATCGGCGCTCGGCGTCGCCGGACCGTCGTCGGTCCCCCCTTTCGACGTGGCCGGCGCTTCGTTCCGGACCTGGTGCTCCGTCCACGCCGGAATAAACGCAAAGTCGCCCGCGCTGATGGTCGTCGTGTGAGGCGGCTTTCTTGCTGACGTGGCCGATCCTCCTTCGTGGTCGTTGTCGTTGTCGTCCTCGTCAAAGTTGTCCGGCAGCGTGGCCAGCACGGCCGTCCCCGACACCGCGTAGACAATCGCCTCCTGCTCGCCGTTGTGGAACACCACGGTCGCGCACTGCGGCTTGACGGTGAGCACCGACGCGCACAGCGAGCTGCTTTTGTGGACGATGGCGTCGCGCAGGGACACGCCGTTGGGCGGGCGGCGGCCGACGACCTTGCGGGCACGGCGGCGTGTTGACGGCCCTGGCTGCGTCGCTGCCGCCGCCGTTGGCGGTGCCGGGTTGCCATTCTCCTGGTCGCCATCCTTTCGTTGGCCAGCCTCTCCCGTATCTCCAGTGTCACGTTTGGCACCGCTTTCGCCTAGACTCCGCGGCCGGTGCCGCGTATCCGCCTTCTCGTTTCCGTCGCCGTCGTCCTCGTCTTCGCCGTCAAACGCTTCTTCGCCGTCGTCGCCCGCCTGCTCCTCCTCCTCCTCCTCCACATGAACGGCATCCCGTGGTGGCCCTTGCAGCTCCTCTGCTTTGGTGATGTGCACCGACCCAGGCATCAGCATGGGCAGGATTTCCTGCAGGATGGGGAAGAAGGCGGCCATTGCGCGTATGTGGGTGTGGTAATGGGGCGAGGTGCTGCATTACACATAGGGGCGATAATATTGTGCGGCAAAAAGCAGTTGAAATTCACGGCGTTAACACTGGCAATTTTGGGTGGGGCCACAGCGCCAACCAGCCTAGGCGGACAACGAACCTCCATCAAAGCCTGGCACACCAATCGTGAATTGGGACAGTGCACCGTGGCATGTCAATACTCTGTGTACATTCGTACTCCGTAGGTTGGCAACCTTCAGAGGCAGGATATTGTCCAGGATATAGCTCCGTGCGGGTGTCATGATTGCTATGCTGGGAAGCAGAGAGAGGATCGTGCAGTCACAGCTGCAGATGCATGTTGTTTTGTATGGCTGCTGCCTGCGTCGTGAATAAAAGGAAAAGGGGACGAGAAAAAAACAAAGAACCGTCTGGATGTCCTCTCCAGTGATGCACGTCCGGTCCTTTTGCGAGGCAAGTGTGTCTGTCGTACGACGTCTACATAAGCATGACCCATCCCAAACTTAAGAGAAGCTCAGACATAACACAGTACAAAACAAATCCATATAATCTTTTTCTTATTCTTTTATATTTTTCTTACGTCTTATCATGGAGATACTAGGTGGTGACTTGATGTACATTTTATACACAATTGCTTAGAAAGTCGTTGCTTGGTCGCGGGTAGCGGTGAGAAAGGAAATATTGTTGACATTGCTTGGTTACAGCGAACTCTGAAGAAGCTTGGAAAATGCGGCTGAACAGGAAGGTTTAATAAAAACAGTATACGTTACGTAAATATACTTCATATAAGAATATACAAAACCATCTTCCGTTACGATTTTATTCTTTTATTTTGGAAAGTAATATAAACACACAACTGAAATATAAATCAGTTTACGGAATAAGAAGTAGGCTGAGATTAAAATATGAATAAAATAAAGACAAGGTATGAAGATAAAAAAGCTACGCAATGACTAGGCCAAGAACCAAGAAGAACCCAACGCAAAAAAAAAGTAGGCCATGCTCGCGCTATCCGTTCTCGAAGGTGTAGTTCAAAAAAAGCGACAGAACGAGACAACAAGGAAAAGAAACACAAAGGTTGAAAGCATAAAAAAAGAGACCGAATACCGTAGTTCACCCATGGCGCCGTGTATTGTAACGTTTCCAGTCCGCCCATACCATTCCGTCCGTCCCAGATGAAAAGAAGCAAGACACCAATACAGTGACAAACAGCCAACGCAAGAACAACACCCAGAACGAACCAAAAAGGAACCAAAAAAAAAGGACGAGACACTCACCCCAGCGACAGCGCCTTGGCCCGCCGCGCCAGGATCCGCACATTGTCCACCAGCCCCTCCACCAGCTCCGGGTACGCGTGCATGTCGCCGTTGCGCGCCCGCCGGCCCTGGTCGATCAGGATGCCCGGCGCCAGCTCAATCTCCAGCTCGTGCTCCTTCTCCTCGCGCTCCATCTTCTGCGGCCCTTGCACCTTGTACGTGACCTGCGTGAGGTCGATCTGGTAGTGGCTCTGCGTGTACGACAGGCGGTCCTTTTCGCGGTCGGGCGGCTGCTCGCGCGTCGTGGCGGCGGCCAGCTGCTCGAGCTCGTCGACGCCGCCGTCCCAGTGCATTTCGAGGTTGACGCTGAGCCGGCAGTCGAGGGGCGCGTCGGGGAAGTAGAGGTTGAGGTCGCTGATGCGGGCCTTGACAATCTTGGCCAGGACGTCGTTGGTCTTCTTGTCGTAGGTGACGCGGACCTTGACCGGGTAGCGGTGCGGCAGGAGATTGCGCACGCAGGCGGGCAGCCGCTCCTGGAGGCCCAGGGGCAGCTCAAAGAAGCGGTCAATCTCGCGGCGGTGCTTGTAGACGACGGGCACGCGCGGGCGCGGGCGGCCGGCGTTGGCCGGGTTGCGTGCGTCGGTCTCGACGACGAGGCCGTTGAGAAACTCGTTGAAGGCCTTGTGCTGCACCTCGGTCATGCTGCTCTTAAACGCGACGCGGCCGGTGTCCTGCAACAAGCATTCGGAGGCCACGGGCAGCTCAATGCGCTGGTTGGTGTCCTTGCTGATCAGCGTGCCGAGTTTGGCCTCAATCTCAAACTGGACCCCGAGGCCCTGGATCTCAATCATGTTGGGGTTGCTGACGACGTTCACAAACAAAAAGTCGGCCACCTTGCGCGACAGCTCCTCGTACGGCTTGTCGCCCGTTACCGACTCCTCCCAGGGGCTGAGCAGAGCGGCGCGTGCATCCGCCGGTGATGGGCCGCCGCCGGGAGGTCCGTCGACTCCAGGACCAGGACCAGGACCAGGACCAGGACCAGGTCCTGGAGCCGCCTGCGAGGCAGCCCCGGCTTCGGGCGATCCTTGCCGCGAGGTATGTCTACTATGCATAGCGCTCGTCGTCGAGCCACCGGCAGCCTCCTTCTTATCGCCGCCATTAGCGTGGCGATGGCCCTCGCCGGGCTTAAAGACGATCAGGTTGCCCCGTTTCAGCGGACCACCATCATATTTGCGGGCCCACGTGGGGACCTCGGTGTAGCGGGTAGGTTTTTTCAGCTTGGGTGTCGGGTTGTGCGGCACTGAGGCCGAGACGGGGGCTGCCGGTGTCGTGGGGCGAGCTGACGACTTGGAGGTCGTAGCGGGCATCTGACTGTCGTGACGGGAGTCGGGGCGTTGCAGGTGTGCAGCGGCACTGGTGCCGGTACCGTTAGTGCCTTCGAAGGGTGCCGGACGACGAACGTCCTTGCGGTCGATCTCGTCTGGGTGCAGGTCGCGCTCGTCCATCTTTCGCTTTGCAGGCGGACCACCACCGCTCTGACTATCAATGTCCATGGCTGCCGGGGCGGTGGCCGATGCCGACGCCGACGCTGACGAGGTCGGCCGCGCCATGGAGGATGCCGCCGAACCGCTCGGCAGGCTAGGCACGCGAGACTTTGGACTCACGCTGACGCTAGCTGCGCGATCGCTACGTGACATGGATCGACGGTGAGCTGATGCTGATGTGTCCGGCTGGCCGAAGCCGCCGGGACCACCGGCTGGAGGTTGGGGAGCAGAAGCAACGGAAGGACGAGAGGGCATCGATGATGCAGATGGCGGCGGGACACGCTGCTGAAGCGGGCTGGCTGGTTGTGACCGTTGGTGGTGCTGCTGGTGCATTTGCTGCTGCTTCTGTTTCTTTTGGTGTTCCTTTTGTTCCTTGAGTTGCCGTCTCTCCAAGTCTTTTTGCTCCTTTAGCTGCTGTTTCTGCAATTGTTTGTCGCTTTGCAGCATATACGGCGGTTGGGTTTGCTGCTGCGGCAGAGGGTAGGGGCTAGGCCCAGGTGTTGTTCTTTGTTGTTGCTGCTGTTGCGTAGACAAAGGTGGACCCAGAGGTGTTGGAGGCTGAGACGATTGTGGGGGGCGTGTCGGGTCAAAAGGCGACTGCTGGTAAGGGTGCGACTGCGACGACGGATGCAGCGGGCCTTGGCGATGCTGCAACACGGGGCTGACTTGGCCGTACGGTGCGCCGCCGTACGGCTGCTGTTGTGATTGCTGCTGCGGCTGCTGCTGTGGGGGCAGTGAGCCGTGCTGGCTGTGCGCGGATGTCGGCGTAGGAGTCGACTGTGTTGATTGGGAGCGCTGGTGTGGCGGAAAGGCAGACGAGGCGCTCCCGGGTGGACCGATGGGGGGTGTCTGGGGCGGCAGCTGCTGTTGCTGCTGGTAAGGCGAAGGCCCGCCATAGCTGTCGCGTTGCTGCTGCTGCTGTTGCTGCTGCTGTGGTGGAGGATAGACATTTGATCCCGGCGGGTATGGCTGGTGGTGTTGCACGGGGCTCGACCCCGTCGGTGGAAAAGGATAGCCGCCGCCAGGACCGGCACTGACAGAGCCCCCGGGCGTGTGGCGGTACGGCGATGGCCCCCCGGGTGACCTCAGATCGCCGCTAGTCAGGGGCTGTAGCGGCGGCGGCACCGGCCGCGCGCCATAGGGTGTCGGGGGGCCTCCGGGTCCGCCACCGGGCGTCTGCTGCTGAAGTTGCAGGCGGTGTTGGTATTCGGAAAGAGGATGGCCGCGCGGCGACGCGTGGACGGAGCCACTGTAGTCGCGAAAGACGGGCGACGGGCCGCCGGGTTGGACGGGCGTAGAGGGTGGTTGCTGGTGTTGTGGGTGTTGGGGGTGTTGTTGGGAATGCTGCTGATGTGGCTGCTGCTGCTGCTGCTGTTGTTGTTGCTGCTGCTGCTGCTGCTGCTTCGATGCATTCGCGCTGCCGTCCTCGTTCGAGTTCAGCAGCGACTTGAGGTTCATCATCGTGGGCAGTAGGGGGTTGGGCGACAGCGAAGGACAGCGCGCCTTCGTCTGTCTGATTTGTAAAGATCGATCCGCTACTGCCGGAGGAGACGGGATGATGTAAGCCCGTTACGGGATGACGGCCGATGGGGACGTGTGGTCGGCTTGAATCATCCAGACACAGGGCGCGGAGGGTTCACTACCGTGTCGTCGAGGTCGTCGCGATCGTCGTCCCAGAGAATATGCGAAAATAGGTGGGAGGTGAGACGGCGTGTGATGTCACGGTGGCGGTTGGCACGCGTCGATGGCCGTGATGGTCGACGGTTCGTGGGCAAAAAGGGGAAGAGAAAAGAAGCGACGATAATCGGCTGGGGAGATGCCTGGAGCTAATCGAGGCGCGCGAGGGGCGCTGACATTGCGCGCAGGTTGGGCGAGCGAGCGTACGTGCGTGCGTGCGATGGGAGTCGTTGCGCTCAGAGGAGAAGAATGTCGCGATGCGAAAATTGCGATTTGTGTATGTTCCTCTATTTTCTTCGGCTTCTTTTTTCGCGGTTTTCCTTTGTGGTTCCCGCTCGTGTTCCCTTGCCGCAGCGGCTTCAAACGCGCCCGGTCGCCGGTCGAAATGGGCAATTGATGCCTCGACGTCGGGGATCGCCTTGACGAGAGAAACAGAGGATGTGCGTGTTGTCGCAGCCGGTGGTCGGATGGGGCGTTCGGGGTCGAGGAAAGGGATGAAGCCAAAAAGACCTTAAAGAAGACAGCATGGCGATTTTTTTGGATTTTTTTTTTTTTTGCTACTCCCAGCGACATCCAGTGTCCGTTTTCGACCACTGAGGACCTACCAAATTTTGGGGAAAGCTGCTGCGCCTGCCTGGGCCGCCTGCAGGTCGCTCCTGCCCTCTCGTCTATTGGTGAATTTTGTTTTGACCAGACCCACCTGAAAGCAGCAAGAGCGACAGCGATAGAGAGGCTCTGTGAAAAACATCGAATGGTAGGGGAAATGGTGCTGTCGAATGTGGCCTAGCTCCAGCAAAGGCGTGTCAATGGTGAGAAGCGCTGTTAGTCATGGCGCGTCGGTCCCCATACAATTATTAACAGGACTACATAAGGCTTCGCCAGGGCTTGGAACTATGTGACTGTCGCTGAACTTTACAGAGCCCAGAGGACACGACGTAATTGAAACAAACACCATACATGCTCTCATTTCGCAGCATGACAACTTGACCTGGCAGCATCATCAACGTTGCGCGATGGCTCATGAGGTCGTGGGGATTCATTCCATTCAGCTGTCCACCTATCTAGCCGCCTTTTGTTCTTGCTTACTTTTTTTTTCTTTCCCTTTTGCTTCCATTTACTTTTTTTGCCTGCTACGATGTACAGCTACTCCTTCTCATCGACGCTATCCTCGGGCAGGACATCCAGCTCCTTGTAGTAGCGGTAGATGCCGTCGCCATACTTGGCGCGGCGGTCACTCGCCAGGTAGGCGGCAATGTTGGGGCGCGCGCGCACGGCGTCAGTCAGTGCAAACACGCGCTTGTAGTCGCCGGCATCGCGCAGCTGCTGGAGAGCCCGGGGGAACTGGTGGGCAGTGCCGTCGAGGCTTTGGAACAGGACCAGGTCGGCATAAGTCAAGGCGGCGCCGCAGAGCCAGGGACCGCCGGCCTTGCGGTCTTCCTGGAGGTGCAGGACGCGCTCAAAGTAGGCGAGGAACTTGGGGAGGCGATTCTTCACGTAGAGCTTGCTCTTGCGGACCGACTCGGCCTTCTGGTCCTCGTAGTACAGCGACGTGCAGATGGGGTGGTGGCAGTCGTGGACCTCGTTGGAGAAGCCGTCGAGCGCCGTCAAGGCCAGGGCGTTGACCCGGTACACGGCATTGCCGTCGTTGTCCTCGGCCGTGGGCACCAACCCCAGGCGCGGGCCCAGGTACATCAGAATGTTAGGCGTCTGGTGGATCGTCAGATCGCCATGCTGGAGAATGGGCGGTGCGAGCGGCGGCAGGTTGGGAGCGCTGACGGCGACCGCGTTGTCGGGGCTGATCCGGGCCAGCACCTGGGGAATGGCGTCGTCCTGCTTGGAGACGTCGACGTAGGGGACGCCGGCCTCTTCAAAGGCAAGGCGGACGTGCTCCCCGCGACCCGGCAGACCGGGCCAGTAGATCAGGGTGTAGGGGGCAGGTTCGTCGGGCGTAGACGCCTTTTGGCGCTTGGTAGCAGGAGCTGCAGACATGTTGGACGAGAGAGGCGGAGTAGATGTGGGAGGGGACGGAGCTTGAAAAGCAGCGCAGGAGGCGAAGGGGGAGCGAAGACTCTTGTGCGCAGCGTGACGACAGGCCAATGCGGATGTACGAAGAGAAGTATGCGTGAAGACAGAGCGTGAAGCAAGAGACAATACTCGCATTGGGATGTATGAGAGGTGGAAAGGTCTGTGTTGTGGTGTGCAACTGGGAAGAAAGGTGGAGGGTGCCAAGAAGAGGGGACTGGGTCAATTTAAGGTGGTAGGAGTATTCTGTAAGCTGTCGCCGAACTGAACGCTCACAACAATTGGCGAGCTGACGAGCTGAGCAAGTCGTTTTGTGGAATTAATATGACCCGCGGACTTTCATGCAGCTGAAGTCGGTCGACGGACGGCGTTCTTGGCTGGGCGTGCGGGCCGCGGGGATTCGTATGTAATTACTGGCCGCCGGCTATAGGCTGTTTCCCCTGTATTTCCAGATCCGTGGGCAGGTATCTCCACGCACCAACCAGATTACACTGTTTAGTGGGCAGTGGAGTCGATACTCCATAATTACGCATCTACGGCCAATCTCTCCTGTCCCAGCAAATAGAGCTCGCGCCACGACCACAAGCCACACCAAGGTTCGACGTCCATCGGGTGCAGAAAGTTCTCAATTGCGATCGAGACTTGGGTTGAGTTTCCTATGTTCGGCTCCACATGGCGACGGACACTGACGGAGCGGCTTATTGGCGTGTCGACGGGGCTGGCTCGTAGTGCCACGTGATCGGACACTTCACGCCTGTGCTGACACATTACGAGGAGGATCATCATGATCATGTTGGATCACATTCACATCCGCACACAATGCGATGTCTCTGCTCTTTTCTCCTTTCTGTCTCGTTTTGCCGAGCCTCTGCCCAACTGGAGTCAACTGAATTTTCATTTCCTCGGGCACTTGATGGTCTCCGATGCATCGTCTCTGTGATGCTGGCGTCAGCAACCGTTGACGTAGGTCTACCAAACACGACGCAGAACATTCAAGAAACCGCCACCTCCCAGAAACTAGAGTTTACGAGACAATAGGCCGCGCATAGTGTGCCCGTGGCATCTGTAGGAACGACTGGAAAACGGAAAGGACCAACTGGTAGCAATGCCATCAATGCCAGAGAAACGGGGAGGATAGAGAAGTAGACCACAGCCAAAGAACAAAGGGGGCCAGAAGCAAACAAGATCTATCAGGCGTATATAAAGACACGGATAGCCTTCTTCTAGGCACACGATTAAGTGTTTTTATTTTGTCGTCATAAAACCTGACCTATCCTTTGACTTGCTGGTTATTGGCCAATATCGTTGCCCCTCACTCACTCCTTTCATACGTACACTATCTAAAATCAAGACTTCCCTTGCTTGGACCCCCATAGACAACATCACCGAATACGCTCCTCGACCAACGTCCCCATCTTCCTCAAAGTTTTCATCCTTCCTGCCTCCTCCTTTACCATGCCGCGTACTGCCATCATCATCACCGGCGGCACCCTCAACCTTGGTTTTGAGGCCGCCCGTGCCATCGCCACCGGTCACTACCCCGACAGCAAGGACGACCACAACGAGTACCTGCTTGTGTTGCTTGCCCGCACCGACAAAACCAACGCTTCCGACACCATCAACCAGCAGGCCCGTGCTGCCAAACTGCCCCACCGTGCCGTCTTCCGCCGTCTCGACCTGTCTGACCTGGCCAACGTGCGTCAGTTTGGCCGCACCTGGGCCGACGGCACCGCGGCCGGCAACACGGCCGACTTCCCGCCCATCCACGCCCTCCTGCTCAACGCCGGCCTGCAGTTCCCCGGTGCCCTCGAGACCATCCCGAGCTCTGGTCTCGAGGCCACCTTTGCCGTCTGCCACGTTGGCCACGCCCTGTTGTTCCACCTGCTGGTGCCGTTTTTGGATGCCGCGTCGAGCGACGGCGCCCGCGTCCTTGTCACCTCCAGCGGCACCCACGACCCGGCCCAGAAGAGCGGCCTGCCCGACGCCGTGTACACCTCGGCCGAAGACCTGGCGCACCCGCCGCCGGACATGGTCCACGTCAAGGGCCGCCAGCGCTACGCGAGCAGCAAGCTGGCCAATGTGCTGTGGACGTATGCGCTCGTCGACCACCTCGAACGCGCCGGTCGGCTGGGCGCCAAGGTCGGCGGCGTCACGGCCAATGCCTTTGACCCTGGCCTGATGCCGGGCACGGGGCTCACGCGCCGGGGCACCGGTGTCGAGCGCTTCCTGTGGCACAATGTCCTGCCCCGGATCCGGCCTGTGTTGCGCGTCCTCGTCTCGCCCAACATACACACGGCCGAGGCGTCGGGCCGCAACCTGGCGCGGCTGGCCGTGGGCCCTGGCGGCAGCGGCGATCCGGACCGGGTGGACGGCACGGTCTTGGGCGTCAGCGGCAAGTACTACGAGATCCGCCGTCCGATCCCGTCGAGTACCGACAGCTATGACAAGGCCAAGCAGGAGGACCTCTGGGACTGGACGATCAAGTACCTGAGCAAGGGAGACGCTGCCGAGGAGGCACGGTTCCGGGAGTTTCGGTGAAGGTATGATTTTATGGTTCTTTGGTCGACAAGCTTTTTTGTGTTCCTTTTTTTTATTTTTTTTATAAATTTTTCTATGATGCTTCCTCGTCACTTAACTGGACTTTATCTCTTTAATATTCAATAATTTTAGCAACTAACTAGTCATTTTTTGTTTTATTTTTAATTCTCTCTTTTTGTAAACGTTTTGTTTGCTCTGTTTCTTCGGCAAATGCAAACATACATGGGACTTCGATTCGGGACTGCAAAGCGCAACACGTCGAATTCAACCAGGAATAGTATCAATACAGTCGGCTTGTTATTTTCTTGACCACTCCAATATTCGATCTGGAGCCGAGATTAGCAGGAGCGCTACGTGGACATTGTTCAAGACAACAGGTAATGGTGCTGAATGAGACTGTTGCTTGCCGACGTCGTGACTGATATATGAGACTGAGGGCTACTCCATATGTATCGTTATCTCCATATGCATCCAGACGAAGAAGAGCACAACAGAAGTACTACTGAAACAAAGGCTCTGGGCTTTCGACCACGTCTAGTGTCGTCTAGTATTTGCTCATGTAAATTCAGGCTTTTTGCGTGCCTCTCTATCGTACATCTTGTATTCCTTTCGTATTCCTTTCGCACCGTAGCCAACTCATTTCAGGGGCGGCCCAAACGGATCCTCCTGCTTGGCCACCTTGCGCCGCTTCGCCTCGTGCAGACTGTCGGGCGTATTTGTTCCTGTCCCAGCGCCACTAATCGTCCCTAGGGTCTTGCCAAACACGGCGGCATCGTCGTCCATGCCGCCCGCCACGTGCGTCGATGTCTTGGCATACGATTTGACTGCACCCGCCTTCTTGGCCTGCTGCAAGGCGACTAGGTTGAAGCGGTCCGGGTCGCGGCACAGCTTGAGCTTCTTGAGGAGCGGCTTGATGATGTTGTTGGACTCGGGCTGGCCCCAGTACTCGGTGAACCGCTCGGGCGGCTCGGTGGCCAGGAGCTCGCTGCACCGCTGGATCGTGCCCAGCACACGGTCGCGCACGCCGGCGCCGTTGACGCGCTCCCAGTCGGCGGCCTCGGTCTTTTTCTTTTTGCTGGCGCTGCCGCCGCCGGGCAGGATCGGGGTGGCCACGTCCGCCGCGGCGGCGCCCAGGCTGGCGGGGCGATGGAATGTCTCGCCGAGCAGCAGACGCTCGACCAGTGCGCGGTCGGCCAGCCACAGCGCAGCGAACATGATCTGGGAGGGCGAGTAGTGGAAGTAGGCGTCAGTGACGAGCGGGCTGAACTTGAGGATCTCGCGGGCGCGGCGGTGGGCATTGGACACACGGCTGTCGGAAATTTCTTCTTCGTCGTTTGCAGCATTACGCGTCTGGTCGTCCACATCGACAAGTCGCCGCAGCTCCATGACAGCACCCTCCAGGGCTCGGAACGGGTGCTTTACGTCAAAGGAAAAGCGGATGCCCTGGCACAGCAAAAACTCGCCGGCCAGAATATCGGCGGCTGTTGTGTTGGGGAACTTTTCGGCAAAGCCGTCGAGCTTGTGGTAGTAGCCCTCGGACTTGGCACCGAAAAAGAGGGCCGTCTTGAACAGCTGCGCGGGCGGGTACGTCATGATGCTGTGCGTGATGTAAAAGCGCCGGAAAAAGACGGCGGCTGTGGCCTGCACGTCGGTCGGCTGTTCTGTGAACTTGGCGGCGCGCAGCAGCTCGACGGTGTAGAAGTCGAGCAGCATCTTTTCCTCCGCCGGCGTAAGGTAGACCACTGTAGAGCCTGACCCTGAGGGCGTGCCTTTGTCGTCTTCGCCGTTGCTACCGCTGCCGCTGCCGTTGCCACTGCCGTTGCCATTGCCGTTGGCACCGTTACTTGTTTCGCGCCGGCGCTCTTCAATGCTCTCGTGGGCTAACGCGTTTGTCTGCTCCCGGAGGGTCTCGAGCTGGGATGGGGAGAAGGACCACAGGCGGAACTGAGACGACTCGCGGTACACGGCATCTTCAGACGCCATTGTGACGGGAAGAGAGCACACAGGGTGTTGCTGGTATCGGCGGGGAGGAGGTAGAGGGAAGACAGATGAAGCTATCAAGGGATTGTCGTGATGCGCCACAGGCGCGGGGCCATGTCGTGAATGCCCGCCAAAGACGTATCAGGTGCGAAGAATGGGAATGAGATTATTTCGTTATCGTCTTCGTTCTTGTGGTATGATCGGTGTCGTATCGTTGTATCGTTGTATCGTCGTGGTCTTGTGCAGGTTGAAGAGCTCGAGTTCGGTTATGCAGTGGAGCTTCCCATGCCAAAGCCTGCCCCGGTCGCTAATCGCCTATTGGTCCAAGCTTCACTGTGCTGTAATATCTATTCGTAGTAGAGTCCTCTCCCTGGAATTCACAGGTTTGCAGGTGACCCCACTGTAATGCACATCCAGGCCTTGATTGCGCCAAGTCACTTTGGAACGCGGGGAGCTCCTTCTCACATCCCATCGTTTCCAGCATGCCCGACTGGAATTCTGAGCTGCTCATCGGGGCAGGTGCAACCTGTCACCCCCACACCGCCAGCGCTAAAGCCGGCAACAGCGCCGTTTCCAGTTGTCGCAAAACCTTGTCATGTTTGGGCAAGCTTCAAGCAAAATGCTTTACTGAGTGAAAATGGCACGTTTCGAGCAAGCATTCTGTTACCTGATTCCACCACTCAGCCCATGCTTTGGACAGGCCACTTACCCACTCGTCATCGCGCGGCTGGACAGGGCCGACCAGACGGGACCCTCTTTTTGTCTTTCTTGGGTCTCGATCTGGAGAAAATCCGCGCATCAAGCCCATTTGCAGTCAGACAAGGCCAAGATGCCCAGGAGAAGATGGGGTTGACGGCCCCTCAAATCCCCCCAAGATGCCAAATGAGATCTTTCCCAACCTTTCCCATCTGGTAACGACTCCTTAAAAAGGATACACAAAGGAACGCCGAACTGTCCGTGTAATTGGGGCAAAAGGCTCGCTAATTCCTCGCTGAATTCAGCCCTTTTTATTGTGTGATTTTGTTTGGTGTCGGCCGCGTTGTGAGCAGAGCAGACACAGAAAGGATTTTCGTCGTTAGAATCTCCCCTTCATGATCGACTTCTTGGCCTTCTCAGCTCTCATCTGGGACATTCTCCAACTATCATAATAATAGGCAGATGCAAAATAATACGGCCGTTTGATCCTCCATATTATTTTGTGCATCGCACCTGCCTGGCTTGCTCGCCTTGTTTTAGTCGGCGTCACTTCGCATCGCACCTCCTCCCTTTCTCCCCGAAGCATCTTCTCCAACCGCTATTTTGCTAGACCGTCTTACTTTAGACCTCAACTTACTCCTCTGACTCACACTACCTTCCACCTCGTCGATTTTACTGACACTCATTCTCTCAACGCTCATCATCCTCATACTTTTGCACGGGCACCCCATACGTCACGCTACACATGGCAACACTGCATGCGGACAGCAACGAGGGTGCAGACAGTTTGAGCAATACCAATATCAACACAAATAGTGACTCCGACGCGGCGCCCGTCTTCGCAGAGGTGCCCGTCTTCCAGTTTGCGCGGCTCACTTTGCTGCAACTCTTGACCAACTCGCTGGTTCTCGCGCATACGGCGCCCTATCTCTCGGCGCACGACGTCTTGCGGCTGGCCGCGACCAACAGGGACTTTCGTGCCTTGCTGTATGACACGCCGTCCCTCTTTCGGTACCTGGACCTGTCGCGCCTCCAGTCGGCCGTTCGCTTGGGCCACGACCATGGCGAGGCCCTGCTCGAGCCCATCGACCGCGGCGGCCAAACCTGGCGCCACGAGCAGATTGACGAGAACCTGACCGAGGACGAGTTCTACTCGGGCCCGCTGCGAGGGGCCTTTCGGGCCCTGAGCCGGCCGGGCGTCCACACGGGCCTCTCTACGTCTACGTTGACCCAGCGTGGGACCTGGCTCAGCGGCGTGCATACGCTCATCTTGAACAACGTCTCGGTGACGGCCGAGCTTGTGCACGAGATCCTGCGTAGCCCCGAGTACAATGTCCGCATCTTGTCCCTGCGCAACGCCAAGCACTGCAACGAGGTCCAGCTGCGCCACATTTTGCGGACGGCCTGCCGCGCCAGCCGGCCCGCGGGCACGCCCAAGCTGCGCGGCCTCTACATTTTCAGCAGCGGCCGCCGTGGCGACAGCAGCTGGGACAGCGTGCTGGGTGGGTACCGCAACACGTCGTCGTCGTCGAAGCCCGACGAGTCGGACGATCCCCATCCCAACGGGGACGACCTGTGGTACCGCGGGCGGGGCCGCGTGCTGCCGCGGATGCTGATGTCGGCCGAGTGGGCCGGCACGCTGTTGGAATGCCGCGGCGTGCTTGCGTTTGACGGCGTGCTGTGCACGGCGCCGCGGCACACCAACTCGCCGGCGTTTGGCAAGGTGCCGTCGAGCGCGAGCACGACCCGGCCGCACCTGCCGTTTGCCATGGCAAGCTTTTCGCTAGACGGCTGCGCGAGCTGTGGCAGCGCGCCCGACGGGTGGACGACATGGGGTGATCCGGCCCTCGCAAACACGCAGAGCCGTGGCGGTGGCAGTGGCGGTGGTGACGACGAAGGCGACCCGTACTTGTCTCGTTTCCCGCTCCTGTGGCCGCCGCCGCTGCTGTCGAGCAACGTGCGCGTGGCCATGTGCCCGGAAGGTGAGAGCGTCCACCCGCACCGGTTTGCCCACCACCGTGGCGAGACGCCCAACCACGCCCACCAAGATTCCACCACCAGCACCACAGGCTCCTCGCCCGCCCGGTTCATCCCTCGCTGCGAATCGTGCGTCTATGGCCGCCTCTGTGCCCTGTGTCACCGCTGGTGGTGTGAGGCGTGCATGCCGGACGGGGAAAACGGCGTGCCTTGGACCGACTTGCCTGGCACAGCAGGCAGCAGCATCTCCTCCTCCTCCTCCCCGTCTTCTTCTCACAAGGTACGAACCAAAGACGGCGATTGCCGCAACTGTCGACGGTCGTTTTAATGGAGGATCGTCGTTCTTTGTCTTGCAGGCAGGATAGGCTTGTCGGCATGTCGTATGGGCATCGCTGTGGTGTTGTGTGTGTGTTGTATATCGAAGTCATGTTGGGTTTCCCTTTGCTTGTATCGTCTTCCTAAGGCCCTCTTGGCATGTCGTGTCGGGCGTAACGCCAACATTTTCCGGACACCCTGTCTGTTGTCTGTTGTTCTGGCCCTAACAGTGGTATCCTTCTCTCCCAATCCAGAGGCTCATCGACTACAGCTGCCGCGAATGCGGGCCTAGTGTAAGCCTTCTTGTCGTCCTCCCTGTCGTCCTCCTTGTCCGTGCACAGGCTGCCATGCTGTCCCTGTCTGCTCACCAATGTCTTTCTTGTCCTCTCCAGTGCCATGACTGCGTGTCCAAGATCCAGCGCCAATGCAAGCGGTGCCGCCAGAGCTACTGCATGCTGCACAACACGGGCTCGAGTCCGACCCATGTGAGTGTTCTTTTGGTGCCTGCCTGTCGAAAACTAGGCTGCGGCGCTGGTTTTCCTGGTGCTACCTATGGCGATGTGTTGATTTGCTAACTCGTCTTTGTCTTGCAGTGCGATTGTTTGTCCTCCTTTCGTTGTCTTCCTGTTGACCGTTTCCCAGTGAATGACTGCTGACACGCTGAAAAAGGGTGCACACCTCCCTCATACCGTTATGTCCAGGTGCGTTTATATATGTTTCCCTCGATTTTGTCACTGTTTTTGTGTCTATCCCCTCTGTTCTCGTTCTTATCCTTGTTGCCTTGGCCGTCCTCCCCCCGGTTTTCTCCTTCCCTGCAGGCCTCCAGAAAACGGCAAAGCAACAAGAAGGCAGCCTAGCCTCCCCTACCCTCCCCCAAAAATGCACCAACAAAGCCCTCTGTCTATGATTCCGCACGCCCTAACCGAGGTTACGAACGCTAACAAAACGGGGCGCCTTGCCTGTCGCTAACAGAACCCACGCCTCGTCCTCAAGAGCCATTATTGACCAAACGACTTACACGATAACACAACACTTCTCAGTACGTCTCTTCTAGCATGACGCGAACACTTTGCTACGGGTTTCCTGCTTGGGCTTGAAATATCCTGCAAATTTCCAGCTTTCTTTTGCGGGCGATTCGGTTCAGATTAGCTTATTTTGGCTAGGCATCATTCTCTTCCCTTTTAAATCTGCATTTTCATGGAACGACTTGCAGCGGTTCTTGCTTCCGTTTCTGTTTTGGCCTTTCTGTTGTTTTATTTTGTATGGCTTGGGTTCATTGCTTGCGTTTCTATTTCTTGGTGCAAATCGTCTCTACTCCCTTTGCAGCCGGTGTTTCTGCGCTTTCGATAAGATACCATTCCCCTCTTCCGATGCGGGCTTTCGTCCCAGATTGCTTTTCCAGATCTCATAGACCGTATAATGGCTGCATTTTTGTCCACATATTTGCACGTCCTCTGAACCTCACTGCCCATGGCCTGCATACGACGTACTTGATACGAATCTAAGCCGGTCATTTCAAGTGACACTGTTGTCTGCACCGGCAGAATCTGCTAGAGCGGCTTCTGCATGGTGCCATCGTGGCGGCTCGTGCTTTGAGATGGGGCTCGTGGATAAATACTCGGGGCTGCTGTGGCCTTTTTCTGGAGTGCCTTGCCCATCGGCTTGCAGCCCACTGACTGCCACATGAGTGTATGTCGTGGCGAGCCTGAAGGGTTGGGCAACCGACAACGGGCCACATACCGATGCCACTCTTCTTTTTCGTGAGATCACTGACAACAACGGCATCTCATCATTTCAGTCAATCCCGCCGAGCCCGGCCGCAAACTTGCGCGCCACCCACCCAGCGCCGTGCTCGTCGTACTCTTGTTTGGTAACACACACGCGGTTCACGGTCGCCGCATTCTCGGGGAGCGTTGCAAACCGTGCGGCCCCGCGCCAGGTACACAATGTTGGGTCCGCGGGCCGCGTCACGCGCACCACCAGATCGTCCGGCATGCGCGTCTGGATCTCCTGCTGCAGGCGCTGCACGAACCCGGGCAGGTCGGTGCAGCCACCGACGACGACAATGTTGGCGAGCAGCGCGGGCCACAGGCCGACGGGCAGGGCGTGGACCGACTGGGCGACGAGGTCGGGCAGGCCGGGCTGCTGGAGGCCGATGTCGGTCGGGTTGAACAGCAGCTCGGGCACGGCGAAGCGTTCGTTGCGGAGGACCAGGACGTCTTCCGTGGCGGCGGACGCGGCGGCGCCAAAGTCCTTGGCCTGCTTCTGGCGCGCCGCCACGGCCGCCGCGTCGTAGTCCCGCACGATGCCCTCGGCACGCGCGTGGTAGTCTGGCAGCACATACTCTTTGGCGATGCCGTCGCTGCCGCCCCGAAACACATCGAGCCGCCGCCTCTTGGCGTCGCCGACACCCACCTCGCCTAGCTGCACGCGCGAGCCCTTCCAGGTCTTTTCGAGGTCGGTGGCAAAGTCGAGCGCCACATAGCAGGCCTTTTCCTTCATCTCATTGACAATGTACGTGTCGTGGCGCATGTCGTAGTGGCGGACCGATAGCAGTTTGGTCAGGTAGTTTGTGAGCAGCTTGCCGCCAACATCGAGGCGGCGGACGGCGCGGTGGACCGGGCGGCCGTGTAGCACGGGCGTCACGGTCGTAAAAGAGTAGCCTGCATCGATGACGAGGCGAATCTCCGCGGCGCCCGTGCCGGTTGTCGTAGGGGTGGGCGTCGTCAGAGGTGCGTTGTCTGCAGCTGCCTCTGCCTCAGTCTTTGCGTCAGGTGTGGCATTGGCGGTGTGCGTGACACCGTTGTCGGTCGGCACAGGCTCGCCTGCTGGCGCTGTTCTCGTCGTCGTGACCGTCGTCGCCTCCGCCACCACCGATGCGGCGGCCGTGGCACTTCTCAAATCCAGATACGCATTAAACTGTGATGCCGGGCCCCGGTAGTAGCTCGCAAATCGAAACTCCTCAAACACCATCTGGTCGCAGTTGGCTTGCAGGGCCGGCAGCGCGTTGGGTTGTTCAGTCAACAGCAGCCGCGTCTCCGAGGGGTCACACTGCAGCCGCCCGCCGCCCGCTTCGGCCGCCTCGCCAAACTCATGTGCCCAGATCGCCCGCTGTGCTTCCCAGTTGACAATGTAGCCCTTCTCGACAGGGCGGCGGAAGGCGGCTTCGCCAAAGTCGCGGCAGCTGGTTGTGAGCTCGGAGCCGATGTAGGTGCGCCGTCGTCGGTCACGAGAAATGCAGTTGGGGATCACGTAGGGCGTCGCCTTGGCGTCCGACGATGCGCCCTCGGCAAAGCCGGCCTTGATAGTGTAGGCGCCGTTGTCGACGACAAGTGTGCGAGCAGGCGGTGGCGGCGCCACAGGCTTTCCCTTGCGGCCACCGGCCATGTCGAAGGGAAAGCAGAAGGTAATGTGGTCGTATCAATGTCGAGTTGCCGAAGGGACGCTGTTGACTACCGCAGAGTCATCGTTGGTCGATGTGGTGATTGCTGCGGTTGATGGGGATGCAGAAGTGAGGCTTTGGTGTGCCAGACATCTGAAAGCTCGAACTGGATACGACGCGGCAGTATTTTCCACGCGACGCCAGTATAATTTAGGCGGTGAGCTGCGCTAACACCACTACACCAAGACAACAATTCCTCCACAACATCACCACGTTCAACAATCAACTTGACACGAAGAAAACACAGCTAATTCTGTAATAGATTCGGATCTATGTTTTAAAGAATCCCAAATATGCGTCTTCAGGAAAACGTTGTTATGCAAAAACAAAACCCATCTATACCGCCCAAGCCTTTAACACACTGTTCCCATCACTCCCAATCACCTCCAGCGCAATCCTCACCCAGCCTGCCTTGCATCCATGTCTATGCGTTCTTGGCGACGGTGGCGTTGAAGTCGGCGTTGGAGGCTGCCGAGAAGTCGTGGATCCAGTGGCCGATCAGATCGTGGATGCTAAAGGATGAGGCGTTGTTGCTGGGCGTCGTGACGGGTGCCGCCGCATACGCAAATGCCAGGCTGCCCTGGGCCTTGGGGTCGATGCTTGTGACGCCCGTGTCTGTGTCGCCCCAGAGCGTGCAGCCGACGCATGTAGCGGTGAGCTGGAAGTGCGTCGCATTGACGTGGGTACCCTTCTTGAGGACGGTGTAGACGGCGCCGTCGTATGCCGGGGGCACAAAGTAGCCACTCGTTCGGTTAGCACCAGAGGCTCGCCATCCAGTATATACACACATACGCACAAAGAGAAGAGACGGAAAACATACTATGCCATGCGGGACGACACGACGACGTCCTTGCCGTTGGCCCAGACAATTGTCAAAGGATTGTAAGTCATGGAGCCGCCCCAGGCCAGACCGGCCCAGCCGATGGCAATGGGGGCAACAATCTGGACGACGGCTTCGTAGTTGTCGTTGACCTTGGCCGTGGACGGGATGGCTACCCGGAAGGCGATGCTCTTTTCGTTGACATACTGAGAGAAGGTGAAGCCGGTCTCCGGGTCGACGTATTTGGACGAGTCCACCTGGCCGAGGGCCGAAGCGGCCAAGGAGGCAACAGCGCCCAATACTGCAACGAACCCACGCATCTTGTTGTGTTCCGGAGGTGGTCGGCGTTGAAAGGACGTGAGAGGTGAAGGTGCGGCGTCGGACCTGGGAATGATGGCGAGTATTCACACACCAATGTCACGTCCAGGTAGAAAGGTAGACAGAATGGGAGAAATAGAAGAAAGGGGCAGAAACTCAATGGGCGGCAGAGGGCTTCAAATACGGAAGACACTGCCTTTCTTCTTTTGCCATATTTCTTCCTTATGGCTCCGCAATCTAAATATCCAGATTGAGTAAGATATAACGGGGTTTGGACTCCTGTAAATTGGAAAAAGACGGCATGGCACTGGTGCATTCCAAAGGCCTCGCATTCCGGAAACTGAGGCGAGAACGGTACTCTTCAATAGAGGGACGCACAACTGGGCTCGGCACCATCCAGTGTCCACGATGATAATTGAGTGATGACACAGAACAGTGTTCCAGGGGCAGAGAAACGCAACTACCACTCGGCTTGTGCAGCAAGAAGGCGTCAAAAAAGGACCGAGACCGTCATTCGGACCACTCTATGAACCTAACAAACGTAGCATCCAATCTACCGTCCTGAGACTTCTGTGGACAGCCAAGTACTTGGGAGCAACGTGGGGATAGCAAAGGTGATGCGACGGATCGATCTTCCCCGTCCGCTGGAGATGCTTCCATCGTTCAGTTGTGTCCCCTGGGATCCATAACAAGTATGACATATACCTGCCGCGTGAATGGAGAGGCACTCTGCCCAATCGGTCATTCTTCCGTTCGGCCTGGGGTCGGCTTGTCGGTTTGAATGGGCTCTGCTAACCGGCAGTGATGCTTGGCGAAAGAGTACATAAATAGACATGATAGGGATGCCTGGCCTAATGTCCCGGGAATTTATTGGGAGCTACAGTCGCTGATATTTGGCCAAGTTCAATGGCCGTCGTCCATTTCGGGAAACAATGTCTTTTATTCCGAGCTGGGCTCGGCAGCATTGCATTGCTAACGAGAGGCCTCGTTCGCTGGAACGGAGAGCCGCTGTTACCCATTAGCCTAATTGCCATACTTACCGTCTGTGGTCGAAGTAGGCGAAGGCAAAACGTGCTGGAAGTCCTGTGTGGAAGCGAAGAAACGAGATTGACGAATGCTGGAAACGAAGGTCTTGAGAATGGCGTTTGAGGTAGACGGTGGGGTTGCGGAGAGAACAGAGTGGCGTATTAAAATCAAAATGTAGATCGCTGGCTACATAAGAGGTGTGTAGAAATGATGTGTGAGGAGAAGAAAAGCGAATGAAATTTCTCCGAGGAAAAGAAAAGAAAAAGAAAGAAAGAGAAAAGCGGACGACGGCTAAATAGGAGACAGGAACGACATATAGATCAACGTGCAAGTATAGAAGGAGCTACGAAACTGGAAAATCAGGAAACATCGACCGTGGTTTGACTTCTACAGTCTCAGTTGACACGATATGAACGGTTGCACGCTTGCGACTTCCCTTTCTGGAGTTGCTGAACTAAACGAAACTAACATTCTGAAGCATTCACGGAATAGACCGTTTGAGTAAACCACGATCGGGGCCTGCAATGGGCTGAATTGCGCCATCCGGACCAAATGTAACGCTAAAGAAAAATGTCCACAGGGAGCAACAAAAAAGGGTGCAAATGGGAAGGAGCTAAGAATGGTCTGATACGGAAAGCGCCGCCGACGGTTCTAGATCGCAATTGCCAACCTTGACCTCGACGGTCTTTCATTCTCATACCCATACTCATACCCATACTCATAATCGTACTGAGTCTCATACTTTCCCATTACGAATTGCTGTGGCATACGTTGCGAGCTCCCACTTGCTTCGCCTGTCGCACATGTGAAGGAGCTGCTGGTCTGTCAAGGGGGCCCTGTTGATCACAAACGCCGACAAATCCCCAAAATGCCCGACGCAGAAGACCCGCCGCGGCCACCCCACCTCACGCCCCTGGCCGACGTCCTCCCACCGCTCCTCCTCGGCACCGCCACCTTCAACACCCAGTATGTCGACGACCCGGCGTCCATGCCCTACCGCGGCATCGTCCGCCGCGCCCTCGTCGACCTCGGCGTGACCGGCTTCGACACGTCGCCGTACTATGGACCCTCGGAGGCGCTGCTCGGCGAGGCGCTCGAAGCGACGGGCGTCGAGCGCAGCCGCTACTTCTTGGAGACCAAGGCCGGCCGCGTGCACGGCACCGGCTTCGACTACAGCACGGCTGCCGTACAGGCGTCGGTGCGTCGGTCGCTGCAGCGGCTGCGCACGCCGTACGTGGACCTGGTGTTTGCGCACGACGCCGAGTTTGTGCGCCCCGACGAGGTGGTGACGGCCGTGCGCGCATTACGTGCCCTGCGGGCCGAGGGCGTCCTGCGGTACGTCGGCATCTCGGGCTTCCCCGTGGACGTGCTGGCGGCGTTGGCGGAATCGATCCTCGAGCAGACCGGCGAGCCCGTCGACGCCGTCCTGAGCTATGGCCACTGCACCGTGCAAAACACACGCTTGCTGGGCGACCCCGTGGCGCGGCTGCATGCGGCCGGCGTGTCCGTGGTGCTCAACGCGAGCCTGCTCAACATGGGCCTGCTGACGACGCGCGGCGTGGACAATGGACCGCAGGCCACGTGGCATCCATCACCGCCGGCGCTGCGGGATGTGAGCGCCCGGGCTGCGGCGGTGTGCCGGGACGAGAAGAGCGGCCTCGCGGCCCTTGGGATCAAAGGCATCGAGCAGGTCGCGCTGCGGTACGCGCTGGACGTCTGGGCCCGCGAAGCGGAGAAGGCCCAAGTGGCCACACGCGCCGCCGGCGGCTCTCTGGGTGTGGGGGCGTCCGTCTTGGGGGTGACGTCCGAGGCGGAGCTAGACGAGACAGCACTGGAGTGGTGGAGCGTGCTGGATGGGCTGCGGGTTCCGCACTTTGCGCTCGAGGGCTTGCAGAGCCGCACCGGGATCGGGAGCGCACCGGACGCCTTGGCGCGGCAGGCGGCCGGCCTAGAACGGTCTGCGGCCGTCAAGACATTTGTGGAAGGCAAACTGTGGCCAGTGTTTGGGGACCTAAAAGACTTTGCGTGGGCAAGCCCCGAAGAGGGCTGGGTGAACGAGCTGAACCCAGCGGAGGCCGTCAAGACAAGGTCATGAGGCGTTGAGGCTAGTCTTTGTCTCTTGTTGGCCAGTGGATAGATTTCCCATGACTTGTGCATAGTATTCATCTCATATTGATATTTGCAGTGTGTTTCTCAAAATATATTTTTTACAGATTTATTTGTTTAAATTTCTTTTGCAAATTGTGTCAACCCCTCGAAAAATTGTGAATAATATATATTTATTTCGAAAGCAATACTATCACGTTATTTACCGTCGATTCATACTTCAGGCGAGAATGACAATGTTTTATGATCATAAACGGCTACAGACTGAGAGCAAGGCATATGAAGCCCGGAAAAGGAATACAAGATAGAAAATACAGTGTGAACAGAAACGCCTGCCCAAACGCCGTCCCTAATTCTTAACAATGCTCGAAGAAAGATGACAAAAAAGAAGACAAAACATACAACACGAAACAAGGCCGTGCATTCATCCCGTCCATTGCCACCCCAGAAACACAATATGACAAACACAAAAGAGCAAATCCAAGACACTCTCCACTCCTTCCACCGGTCCAGAACCCACGCTCAAAACGGAATGTCAATGTAACCCATGAAAAGAACAGGAATGAAAAAAAGGCCGACAGAAACAGCCATAAAATAATACAAAGGAAATGAAGAGTGTTGAAAGGTAAGCCTTAGGGTCCGCTTCTATTCTAGTGGTAAATCGTCCGCGGGTGCCGGCGTGCCGGGGGTGACCATGACTTCGGGCGGCTGCTTGAAGTCACCGGTGGATGTGGACAGGGGGGTGGGCTGCTTGAGGTTGGCGTAGGTGTCGGAGTGTTCCTTGCCTCTGTCGGCACTCGTCGTGTCGGGTGCATGCTCGGCGTGCTCAACATGGCCATTCAATTCCGACTCTTTGGGTGGCGATGCGCTCGTGGGGATGTCGGTCGCGTCTGTGGTGAGTTGGCCCTGTGCCTCGCGGTCGATGACAGACAAGCGCCGACCAGCATTCTTGCCTTCCAGCTGCACACCAACAACGGCCGCAAGGCTGCCAAAGTTGAAAAGGGACTCGGGGCTCGCGCTCGGGTCGTCGTGGTCGTGGTCGCGGTGGTCGCGATGGTCGCCGTCTTCGCTGGCGTTGCTGCGGCTGCCCAAACTCAGTCCGCTCGCACGGGGATCCTGCAGGTGAAGGGCGTTGGGAAAACTGCCACCGGCCGAGTCGGGGAGGGACGACGAAACGGAGGAAGCGCTGCTCATTTGGCGTAGGTGGGAGGGGCCGGCAGACGGGTATTGCGCAGAGGGAATGGGACGAAGCGCCGCACCTGTAGATGACGACGACGAGGTGGCCGTTGGGGCGGCGGTGTCAGCGTTGGCTTCGGCATCTCCCACACCACGATCAACGGCCTTGCCTTTGCCGGTAGAACCATTGTCCTGAGCAATGGTGTCGCGATCCTGCGTTGGGCTGGCCGGACCTGAGGGAGGGTTGCTGACAACCGGGCTCGTGCCGCCACTGCTGGCCGGGCTGCCCGACGCTGCCGTGTTTTGGTTGGAGTTGGCGTTGACAGCTCCACTGCCGTTGCCGCTGCCGCTGCCGCTAGCCGTCATGGCGTTGGCGACACTGGCTTCGACGCGGAGATTGGACGCGCCACTGTTGCCACGCCGACGGTTGCCGATGTTGAGCGCAGACAGGCTCAGAGTGCTCGCGCTCGCCGAGCTCTGGCCGCTATCCGTGCCGGTGGCGTAGAGGCTGCTGCTGTTGCCTGTACGCTTGGCCATGGCCTTGGCGGCCTTGCGCTCTTCCTTTTCGCGACGCTTAGCCTCTTTCCGCTCCTCCTTCTCCTCCTTACGGCGACGCTCTTCTTCGGTGGCTAGGGACTGGCGCAGCGCTTCTCTAAACATGAGCTCCTCGAGATCTTCCATCCGTGTGCGCCGTCCAGACCCGCTGGCGTTGGCCATGGAGCTCGACCGTGCACCCTCAGGGCCTGAGGTACCACCGCCGCCGCCGCTGGCACCGCCCCCATCGGCCGCAGGATCACCACCGCTCGGAACGGGGCTAGCATCACCAGCGATGTTGTTGGACGATGTGTTGCGTCTACTGAAGCGGCTGACCCGGAAGGACCGGTTGTCCTGGTTGCCGCCCATTATAAAGGCAGCCGTGTGGAGGGCCGTGGCGGCAGCTGCGCGGCGGGCAATGTGGGCGGATTGGCTCGCAAGTTTGGTCGACCAGTCGGGCCGGACACGGTCGGTGGTGATGACGTTGGGGGCGTTGGCCGACAGGGACTGAGCGCGGCGTCTCGACACGGGCGTCGCAGCGCCGGCGGCGGTGGGGGGCGATCCGGTGTTGGGTGACAGGAGAGAGGTGGGGGAGGGACCGGAGTTGATGGAGCTGTTGGACGACATCGCGGCGCCCATGGCGCCAATACCCAACGTCATGGAGCTGGATGCATGGACGAGACCACGGCGGAAGGGTGGGGGGTCATAGGTGACGCCGAATTCGGGTTGCTGGCAGTAGGGGCAGCATGCAGGTTCGGACACGAGTTTGCCGGCCTGGGGATTCTCTCCGTCGGCATTTGCATTTTCGCCGCCGCCGCCGTTGTTGCTGTCACCATGGTTTTCGGGATAGTGGGGGTCGGCACGCTTTATCTGCACAAAGCACTCGCTGCAAATGGCCTGGTCACAGCAACGGGTGTGGTTGAGGTAAGGGGGGTAGGACAGGAAGCAAATGGGGCACTCGTCGGCGTCCTTGTACAAAAACACCTCGATGGGTTGGCCGTTAACATAGGGGTCGTGGGGGAGCATAATCTCGCGGGGGGCGATATCGGTAGAGGAGCCGTTGCGCGACGAGATACTAAGAGCGGCGGCGATGGCCTTTGCACGCGGCTTAAACGGTGAACTGGACCCACCGCGAGGCGTGGTTGCGCCGCCAGTGGTGGAGGGTGGTGGGATAACGACGGCGGGGGAGGAGGTGCCGGCGAGGGAACCGGTCGGAATGACGCCTGACGGTGGTGTGGTGGCGGCGGTGGCGGCGGTGCCAGGTGCGCTGAGTTGGGAAGACGAGGCGGTCGGGCCGGGTTGAGGAACGGCCAGTGTATGTCCGGTAGCAGATTTGGGCGGCGAACCAGGCGGGGCGCCGGCGGACGTGGGAGGGCGGGAGAAGAAGGATTCCGGAGGCGGTTGGTCGGGAGGCGGGACATCTAGGCCCCGTGCCGCGGCAGCGATTTGGTATTCCGTCCACGTGGGCGAGAAGTCCTGCAAGCCACGCCAGAAAGGCGCAAGCCGTCTCTCGATCTGCGTTGCATGTGTTAGCACGACTTGGACGAACGAATATTACAATGCAAGAGAAGTGAGCGGATGCTGCCGCACCTGTAGCATGCGCACGGTGGGCTTGCTAAAGTCTTCAGGGCCGACGTAGGTGCCAAGCGTCACGAGATAGCCGCCATCGACGTGCTCCTCCCGCATGCTGCGCTCGCGCTCGGCGATCCGGGCTTGGCGATCCCGTTCCAGTCGCCGGGCCTCCCGCTCCTGCCTTGTTTCTCGGCGTTCTGGGGGCTGGGTGCCGGAACCTTGGGCAGAGATGCCGAGCAGGCTGCCAAGATCGTTGTTGCGGCCGGAGCGGCCACGCGGTCTGGAACTCGAGCTGTGTCCGTGCGCGCGCGAAGCGTTTGGCTGCTGCGATGACGACGATTGGCCTTGATCACCGGGTGCGCCGGGCTGCCCGGGACGGCTCTCTTTCGTGCTGGTGTTACCCATGGCAAATGGCAGGTCGTTTCTGTTCTCTGCGTCGAAGCAGGCCTCACTGCTGTCGGAAGAAGGCTGGCGAAGTCGAGACGAGGCAGTTTGTGGCCCTGTTCCTCTCGAAAATGGCCGTCGGAAATGGCCCTCTTCGGAACGACCGTCAAAATGCACTCAAGCCGGCCGTCTCACAGGAAAGAAAGAGGGGGGTGAGAGGCGAGTGAGATTGTGCGCTTCGGTTCTATCGACCGGTGTACTTGTTGGATGTGGATTGGGAAAGACACACAAGGGGCAGAGGAGGTGAGATGAATGACGGAGGAAGAGCAACGGCGTGTGGCCGATGGTCCGTTAAATTCGACGTAGCGTGCCACTCGTGCCTCTGGTTTCTGCTGTTTTTGGTGTCTTTGGCGTCGGTATTGCCTATTGCCCCCTTGTCTGTTCTCTGTTCCCCTCTTTTTCTTTGGTCGACGGAAGTTCGCTGCTAGGCTCAAGGTGCAAATAGAGAATGGATACGCAGTGGAATGGCCCTCTTTTCGGTAGGCGCGGAAGCTTTCAGCGAAAAGCGGGCGGGGAAGAACAGACGACGCAAATGGAAGACAAGGACGACAAGGACGACAAGGACGACAAGGACGACAAGGACGACAAGGAAGCCGAGGAAGAATAATCAAGACAAGAATCGAAACGGGGCAAACACTGAAAACGAAGCAAAGCTGGGGACAGCCGTCATGTGCATAAAGAAACACTGGTGATACGAAACAGGCAACGGAAGACGCGGATAGATATGCGGTAGGGCGGTGTACAGATGAAAGGCAATAAAGGAGATATGGCAGATGGGGTAACGGCTGTCAGATGGTTGGGCGGTGGTGGTGCATGCCGGCGTCCCAGGAACGAAAACAAGTCGTGCGAGAGGTCCAACGGTATCGTCGGTTGGGAAAAGAATGACGACACGCAGGATGCTGACAGTGGGCGGACAGTGGGCAGACGTTGGTTGGCTTAGGGGTCAGGCTCAGGAGAGGAAATAGACAGGCCTGGCCAATCGCACTTGCCTGGATGGGCGGATGTGTCGCACCACCAATTCTTGATTGCGAGGAAAGAGGAATGCAGAGCGCAGGACGAAAGGTTTGTGCAGCGGGTTGCTAGCGAGCTGCAGGGCTGTCGGTGTGACGTTGTTGAGTTTAGCGGGTCGCTTTCAGTCGGATCATCTCAGGCACATGAACATGGCCGCGATAAGGGTTCGAGGGCAGATCTATCTTTGTGATAGAGGACTGCAGTTTACTACTTTACTTTAATCAAGGCGTGATCGATCCGGAACCGCAGAGGAGCAAGATGTCCTGAGGGCGCAGGGATGCAGGTGGCGAAACGCTGACGACGCTGATAAGGGCGAAACTTGCTGGGCCTGTTCAAGCTGTATGGCACCTGTTGGCACCTGTTGGCACCTGTTGGGACCTAAGCTACAAGACACAGGAATAGATAAATACAGCAAGTACAGCCGCTGTAGTTCACCAAATGCTTGCCCTTGAGTCCTTGTCCGGCAGGCAGAGTGGAGCTTTCCGGTGTAGTGGTGACTGTTTAGTCTTATTTATTCTTAGAGCTTCCTTGCTCTATGGAGATTTCTCGCTGAATCGCTCAATTGAATCACTCGCGAGCCTGATCTGGCCAAGACTCAGAGTCTGGGGGAGGGGAACAGAACAAGATGGAGAGAGCGACGTGGGGCTGGAGCACTGAGAAAGTGGGGAATGGAATGGAGATGGGATGCTAGCAGAATCAGACGAGAGCCGGGGGCACAGCACCTGGAAAATGAATAACGAGGCTAGTTGACGAGGTGAGCAGCACTGCAGCACTACAGCACTAACAGCACTGCAGCACTACAGCACTAACAGCACTGCAGCACTACAACACTAACAGCACTACAGCACTAACAGGACTGATAGTTGAGCTTGTACTTTGCGAGGAGGCGGGCAGAGCAGGCCACACCTTCCTATTCGGATGAAGGCACTGTGCATCGTGACTGCCCAAAGTATCTGTGCATCATATATTCGTCGCTGCTCCTTCCGTTTTGATGTTGTTGGTTCTCCGAGAAGTTGGGTTCGTGCTCCCTTTGCTTCCTTCCCCGTCCTCCTGTCCCAGTTCCATCCACAACCGTTACCACCAAAATTCATCGCCAGGTCCCGCGATATATCCTCAATGGTACAAACGCTACAACGTGTATTGCATCGTGCAGAGACAGTACGGTCCCGCATCTCTATTCGTTTGTTCTCTTGTTTGTTTTCAGATTCTTGTGCCTGCTCGTTCTCCATCCGTCGTGCTGTCTTTTGCTGCAGCCAGACCATGGCGTGGGAGGAGTCTTGGCCCGGAGAAAGAGTCCATCCTTTCGTTTGTCCTCGACCCCTCCCCGCGACCATTTCTATTTTGGGCTCGCTTTGCCCGCCAGAAGGTCCTTCGTGCGACGCTGCTTGTGATGCTAGACGACAATGAATTGGCAAACTATAGCTTCGTCACCGTATGGACTGCGTAGCGCAGCACTTCTTGCACTTGTGTACCACACTGAGTGCATACCCCCAAACAAACAGGTAGGACAACCAGCTCCTTGCGTACGGTGTCCCACATGTCGCAGCAGACACAATTGTGCTCACTGGACAAAGACGATGTCGACCGTTTTTGGCAGTATTAACACCATGACAGGGATTAGAGGGCGGGCTAGATCCCACCAATCCTTTTACGGCTGGTTCGACACTGACAGCGGCGTTTGCATTTGGCTCTGTTCTTAAAGGCACGAGAGGAGAAGTGCGACATTTGGGGACGTAGTAATGGCAGGCGTGCACGGTGCCAGTCTAGAACTCGTTGGACAAAGAAAAAGAGGAACGTGGGACGGGCAGTGCAGACAAGTATTTGCGCAGACGACATGAGATACATTAGTCACAGATCATAACACCAAAGGCAGGCACATCTTGCTTGTGTGCCAACAACAACGCCGGGTAGAATAAACGAGACATGGTGTTTCCGGTAACGCTACATTCCAGACGTCCAAACTGCTTGCTGTTGTTGTTGTACTGAGTATTCCGTACAAAATAGTAACCATGACATGCAGCTTTCGACGTGGCACGGGCCAAAGGTAAATGCCACGCACGGCAATCACTGGCGAAAGTGTTTAAGCAAGTGCGCCTGAATACACGGCATTAAGCCTCACTGGCTTGACATCAATAAACAGTAGGTATGCCATACTTGGTAGACTAGTCTGCAAATGCGTTTGATGTTTTGGTATTGAAAGTTGTCATTTGGTAAAAGACGACGTCGGACGAAAGAAATACGTAGGATGAACTGCAAAACTACTTCCGAAATAGGACCAAGTATGCTGAGACGCAAAAAGACACACTCTGCTCGCCAGAGCCTTCAGTATTGACAGCTGAAGAACAATCCACTCAGTCTACTATGACTCCTCGTCGGCATGCACCAGCTTGGCCGCGTCGTCACGGTCGGCCCGTACAGCGATCTGCTCGGCAGGTGGCTCTGGCGATGGCGATGCGGCGCCGATGCCGACGCCGTTGCCAACGCCGAGTCCTCTCCTGTCGTGGTCGTGTTCGTGGTCATGATCGTGGCCGTGGTCGTGCCCCATGGCCACAGCACCAAACAGTGCATCCATGTCCTCGAGGGCGAGGTGTTTTGTCTCCGGGTACAGGTACCAGATGATGGGCACGCAGATGATGTTGATGGCCATGAAGAAAAAGTATATGCGCGAGCCCAGGTTGGCAATGCCGACGGGCCAGACCTGGGCGACGACGATGGAGCCGATGGCGCCGCCGGACGCCGACAGGTTGAGGCCGCGGGCGCGGAGACTGGTGGGGAAGATCTCGGAGCCGTAGACCCAGGCGGCGGGGCCAAAGCCCATGCTGTAGCCGAGCGAGTAGACAAAGATGAAGACGATGCACGTGTAGTCGGCGGCGCGGTTGGTGTTGTCCGGGTAGGCGAGCGGGAGGGCGCCGTTGATGAGCAGGGCGACGGACATGACGGCGGCGCCGACGGTTAAGGTGATGCGGCGGCCGACGCGATCGATGATGAGCATCTCGAGGACGGTGCAGCCGATCTTGAGGGTGCTCTCGATGCCTCCGGCCAGCAGCGACAGCCGCGTGCCGAGGCCCAGCGCCTTGAACAGCGTCGGTAGGTAGTATTTCATGGCGGTGGCGCCGCACATTTGGGCCATGAACTGCAGGAGGGCGGCGCGCCACAGCCGACGGCGCAGCGACGGCTCGCGGAACAGCGAGGTCCCGTCGAGGCCCGAGGCGCGCGACGCGGCGACGTCGGCGCAGATCTCGTCGAACTCGTGCTGCGTCGCGTCGGGCGTTGCGTGCGCCAGCCCCTGCCGGAAGTAGTCGAGCGAGGCGCGCGCGCGCGCCAGCTGGCCGTGCTCGACGAGCCAGCGCGGCGTCTCCGGCAGGAAGGGCAGACCTAGCATGAAGAGCACGGCCGGCACAAACTGGACCGACAGCGCCGCGCGCCAGCCGACGGCGTCGCCGTGCGGCGTGTCCCAAAAGGTCATCGCATAACCGACCCAGAACCCGGCCGCCAGCCCGCCCACCATGCCAATGTGGTTCATCACCACGAAGCGGCCGCGCTGCCGGGCCGGCGCAATCTCGCTCTGGTAGAGCGGCACGCCCGTGCTCACAATGGCCACGCCCACGCCGGCAATGATGCGGCCGGCGATCACCATCGCATATGCCCCGCCACCGGAAGCGCCCGCCTGGAGCGCCGACCCGACACACACAATAAATGTGCCCAACAACGCGGCATAGCGGCGGCCGAGATAGTCGCTGGCGACGCGGGACAGAAAGACGTACGACGTCCAGGTGCCCAGATAGTAGATGGCGGTGATGACGCCCTTGTGAGCGGCGTCCGGGTGGTTTAGCTGATTGATGAAGCCCGGGTGGACGAGGACGGCCGAGATGATGCCGATGTTGTAGCCCCAGACCAGCGAGCCGAGCGCAAAGAAGATGCAGCAGCCGTGCAGGCGCATCGACGCCTTGGACATGAACACAGACATTGTGATGGGCAAGAGAGGAGAGGGAGGCTACACGGTCGAATCAATGTGAGAAGCCTGCGTCATGTCAGAACTCGGCCTCAATTTATGAAAGTCGACAAGACATCAACGTGCACGAGAGGTGGACCGCCGTTGCTCACCGATGCGGCTCATGGAGAATAGCAAGGATGGATCTCCTTAGAGGTAAAAGAGGGGACGTGAGACAGGGGCGGCGTGCCGTTCTCTTCTGTTCTTTTTAATTCACACCCTCTTCGTGGTTTACGGCCGTTTTCCATCCCGTGTCCACCATCGGAGGCTATGTCGGCAGGGCCTTGAGGAGGAGGCACGGAAGACGGAAGGAAGGCAAAAGAAACATAAAAAGAGGACATGTAAAAGAGGGGCTCGTTTCTTGGTACGACTCATAACCTGCAGGAAGAACTCTGTGTGTGCCGGAACGGCAGACGAGAGACGTGCATCTGTTGGTTTCTGTACGCTTTTCGTGTCTACAGCTGCCGTCCACCCACACTTCCCCATCGCGCGGTACCGGTGCCGATCGCTGAGTTGAAGACCATAGAAAGACTGCAAATACAGAGAAACGTACAACGTCCTGCACGACACGACAGAGGGGCACACAGAGTTTCTCGGAAGATTTA